AGACATTACAAATATAACCAAATGCCGCAACAGCAGCACTTCATGTATTGTGTGTTGGATACATGTATTCTTGCCTGACTAGCCAAGTAATTTTGAAATTCATTTTTGGAAGAACGATCACAAATTTCATTGCATAGGGGACCTTTGAAGGGCACGTTCAGAATATTTTGAAAATGAATGTGTGTTGTGTTGTTTGTGCAGCCATGCAATCCGTAGAGGGGGTACATCGGGGGGTAATCTCAAAGATGCAGCATGAAAGAAAGACACAGAATGATGCTGCATCCAGCTGCCTCTAATGTGAGTGACCTTGGGCAAATCAGTGGTAAGGAATTAATAAGACTAGAAATCAGTATTCCATGAACAAGGTGAAGAGGGAGAAGAGGCCTACTTCACTGATAATGTTCTCCCTCAGTCGCAGCTTAAAGGCAGAAGTACAAGTTTAAGAGCACAGGGATGGAATCTTAGAGCGACAAACTTTTGTTTCATATCAAATTCTGATATAATTTATCACTATTTCCTCCGTAGGGGTATATCAGTAGTGTACTAGTATAAATTTATTTAAAGTTTCCTCCATATCTACCAGGGTGAATGGAAATACTTTCGTTTTCCATTGCAGATATGTTCAAATGTAAATATCAATATTATTGGTATGAAGGGTTTTGAGCCAACAAAAAATTCTTACACTTTGCGCAAAAGTACCTGCATGACCGAGCAATTTTTAAAACCAGATGATTTCCAGTATTTTTCTATATCTCATAGTTAAAGGTTCGTGAACGTGTAAAAAATAAGGACAATGGATATATATGGATGTAATCTTACAAATATTTTACTCGTCGTGCTGACTCATGAAATTTGCTCATCAACTCATGGGATATACGTTTGTATCCCAAGTAAGGCCATTCAAAATCATATAATTACATACCAATATCAATTTGCTACTGAAAATTAATTTTTCTTTAAGATTTATGTGCAAACCTATAGGAATAAAATCAAGATCTTAATATTTTTCAGCTAACCAACAATGCCGAGAATGTATTTGTCTTACATATATATAGTCAGCGCTCAAAATACACGAGGGCGATGGGCGATTCGCCCCCTTGAGCTACACAATCGCCTCCGTCAGAGTGCTCACGAGGGCGATTGCAAAATTAAAAATCGCCCCCGTGGAATATAAGTAACAAATATATAATAGAGATGATCCTTTCTGTTATAACTTTCACACAATGTTGAGTTTCAAGTTTCAAACCTTAAACCAATGAAATGGAAGTATGGAAGTAACATTTTAATAGCGTGCAGGATTTCTCGCTTGAATTCTTCGGTGTCTAGAGGCTGCCATATTGTGAAGGAATAAACGCCTTTTCGCCGCAAGATTGCGCTATATCTCCCATCTCCACATCTCTATGGGTATTACGGATACAAACAAACAACGGAAGATCGCAGTGCACTGCGGTCGTCAGCAAAGCGGCTATACTGGCTGCGCCGGTAGTATACTGGTGTGCACGTATGCCGCCCCATATCTGCTGGAGCTAGAGGCAATCGCGCAAGGACCGAAACGTGGAGAAGGTTTTTGTTGTGAAAATCGTTAATCCTCTGAAATCTAATTCCAAAACACCAGCAAATAATGAAACTCGACCAGTAAATCAACCGAAAGCTAAAATTAGTAAAAGGAGACCTGTTGGCAAGGAGGCAAATGTATACGGGCTTGGACCAGAAATTTCGTACAAAGGGAAGAGATCTGACCATTAGCTGCATGTTATAACTTGTAAAGTTGTAAGAGGAAAATAATGCCGACTATTCATGATAATGATGAAAAAGCAAATAATTTAGGAGTTTCATGGGTACCCCCAATTCAATGGAAAATTTTATTAATAAAAAAGCCCCCGTCAGTACTAAAAGAGCCCCCGTGAGAAGGCTCACGGGGGCGCTTTTTATTTTGGAAGAGCCCCTGTGGACAAAAAATTATTTTGAGCCCTGTATATAGTTAAAGGTTACATCATAAATCTTATATAGGTTATATCATGCTTTTGAGTACATGTCTATACAGAGAGTGTCTTTGCACACTTTCAAGTGGTTAACTTGTTTAGCCCCTCCATGCACGGGCAGCATAATCTGTGCAAGAGATGTACTGCTGACCAAAGAAAGGCTAGTTTTGGTTAATTTTTACTTGGGAAATGCATTGTGCAGTTTATACCAATACAAAATAGCCTCTTAAAAATATAGCAATCATACAAAGTATTCAAACTCGAAATGTCTCTTGAAAGTTGGTTTATCATAATTGCTCATAAACGTGATGGTAGAGAAGAGGTGAATGATAAATGTATGAAATTTACAATAATGTTTTCTTCCTAGGCTGGTTCTTTTATCTCCACATATCCACACATAATTTTGAAATGCAAACATCTATTTCTATCGCCCTATAAGAGTTATTTTTAACTTTCTAACTTTCATCTTCAAGTAGCTTGTCCATCAATTCTGCAGTTCTGTTTACATCCTTGAAGCAATTTAACATGGATTCATACTCATAAAATGACAGCAAATGAAGGAATAAATCTTCAAGTAACTTTTCCATCAATTCAGCAATTCTATTTACATCCTAACAGCAATTTAACGTGGATTCATACTCAGAAAATGACAGCAAATGAAGGAATAAATCTTCAAGTGAATTATCCATCAATTCTGTAAGTCTATTTACATCCTAACAGCAATTTAACATGCAGTCATACACACACGATGACAGCGAATAAACAAATGAACCATAGATCACCAGGCCCTGGTCTAACCCCCTTGGTACCACCATCCTTTGACAGGACATCAATCAACATTGGTGAACGTAAGTCTGGTGGGAATGGAGGCCTTGTGCAGAGCTGCCAAGTTGTATTTTGCATTTTCAGTATTCTTATCCCCCCAAAACAGCATTTTTTCCCTAGAAAAAAATATGCATGCATATCGGCAATGTTCGATCACTTATTACATTTCCGTCCCACATGTAAACAATTGTGTTGTACTAGATCTACACTACCGTTAATCTCCATGTAAAAGACGCACTTTTTTGCCGCCGAAAATATTCAAAGTCGGGGGTGCGTCTTATACACAGGTACAAAACAAAAAAATTAAAATATTAAAGTTTCGATTTATGCCCCTCCACTTGGCGCTATGCCTGGCAATGTCTCCCAGCTCAGTAATCGGTGTGTTGACTCGCCACTCAGAAACTAGAACAACACTCAAATTTGTCTGTCATCTTGGATTGAAAGTAATCTTTCTGGTAGATCTCAATATGAAGTTTAAAATAACAATTCCTCCAATTTTTCTTCTATTACACATGGCGTACCACAAGGTTCTATCCTAGGTCGTTTACCGTTTCTTTTTATATTACATTAATGATCTTACACATTTAACTGCACCTCGCAGTTAAATGAAAGTCCTTCCCGCGTGGGTTTCTTTTTAACGCGGACCTGGCTTGCTGCCGAAAGAGTCGGCAAAAAAAAAAAAAATCCCTTTTTTTTTTCTTCCGTATTTAAACATGAAAAAACGTCCGTCCGTATTTTTAAGTTGATTTCCGTACGGAATATGGTAAATCGGTACTACTTGGCACCTCTGCTTGTGTGATAATAAGGAATTTGCTATCGGGAATTTTCATTAAAATAAGCACCAATACAGAGCCATACTGCAACAAAGGTTCCAAAAGGAATACAAATGTACATGTACATGTATGTTTATACCTATATATGCCACCAGTCCTAACATATTTGATATGCATAAATGTGTAACAGATGTCTATATTTAAATGAATATTTGAAAATGATCATAATTTTTTCACCATCAGCCTACCCTACCTTACCTTTTACCTTTTACATGCAGGTTAATCACAGCACACCCGACATCTCATTCATACATAAACCATTCTATGAAAAAATGCCAATAAAAATGAATGAATCTCACTTTTAAGAGGACCAATCACACACACACACAAAAAAAGTTGTATATTGGTGGAGACATACAATGTCAAATCATCCCCAATAAATGACATGATCAATTAGTTAGCATTAAATTTGATCACAATAAAATTCATTTCATATCAAGGCTTTCATAAATGTTACTCCAATTGAACTTTGTATACTCACACACTGCTTTTTTGTTTTCCTGTATTCTAACTTAGGTATTTGTTTACAGAAGTAATTTTTGAAACTGATATACAATATACAGGTATGAAACCCTAAACATACAAAACAAAATATATGTTCTTAATCTGTCCTCTTTAAAATTTCACAATTTTTTTGCCTCATATTTTCTATATTTTATTTATTTATTTATTTATTTATAAAAATCAAATTAACGGCATGCTCACTTCATTCCTTCAATATGATTTTCCTTACAATGATTCTCCTGGAGAGGGCAGTATTCCTTTTTTTTGTGGGACTTCATACATTTATTTTTTAATGGTGTTTGGGAAGTGAGATATATAATATGCCACATTATCCAGAATAAGTTTCAGATCAGTTTAAATTGTCTTTTCATCAATCTCTTGGCAAAATGAGATTCCTTCCTGACGCAAGCACCACTCTACAGCTACTATGAAGAAAGCATGGTTCATGAAGTTTGTACTTTTAAGTGAATACATTATCCTTTCTCTACATACTGTGGTACTTGTTTTTCTCATCTAATTCTAAAGAGAAATTTATCAAGAATCTGCAGTATGCCTGCAAATGATCATAATGTATAATTTGGTTTTATTTGCCCTGGGTAACCACATCAGTATTAATACTGCAATTATCCTATTACCCTATTACATAGAGAGGGGTACATTTGGGTATAACACTAAACACTGTGTCCACAGATGTACACACCAACCAACGGATCAAACTGGGGACCTCATGTTCTACAGTAAAGAGCCTTCACTAATAATACTACAGTACATTGATGAAGGCCTTTTCCATTTTTCCTACCCCATGTTCTTAATTATGATATATTTCATGATGAGTTTAAATGAACGTTCTACTTACTTTTGGTACAAGCTGACAACACTGGTCTGCTCCACAGGAAGTACAAATGTATGCTGAACATCAGGAGAGTTATTCCGATAGTAGTCCAGGGCATTCCTAAATGATCATAATATAACAAAATAAGCAGTATATTAATAATGAGATGAAGGGGGCAAAGAGTATATTGCTTTCTTAGGTGAAATTAGTTATCAATTCTTGCTTGTTGTTTTGGTGGCAGGAGTATTATTAAGCAAAATTACGCAAATTTTCTCAACAAAATGCAGTCGGATGTTTCCTAAGCAAGAAGCAAGAACCTGGAAGACCGTCTCTGTATACATATATGAAGCACATGTAATTACAAAGCTAGCTTGATGGTTATCCCTTGAAAAACCCATTTATTAAAGGGAACCTGCAAACAAATGAACATATCTATTGTTTCCCTTCACCAGTTTCTGTTAACCAGTCCAACTGATCAAAGGCTTCAATAACATAATTTTTTCTGCAAAGGACATGCATAGATGAACTGTTACAAAATATGGCGATCAAGCTTTCTCAGTAAATGCACCTATCCTTTGGAATAAATTACCTGTGCATATTCATAATATTCATTCTCTTGACCAATTTAAGTCCTTGCTGAAAACGCACCTTTTTAATTCATGAATGATATTCAGCAGTTGTGAGTCGGTCAAAGGAGGTGCACACTGTCTTATTCCTTGTTTGTTTGATTTTATGTTTGATCTTATGTTTGACCTGATGTATGTTTGATCTCATTTCTATTTTTATTATTATATATTCATGATTTATTGAATAAAGAACAGATTTATAATTTGTGTGTTTATTATAAGTTTTGATTAATAATTTTCAGTCAGACAATGGTGCGCTTAGAGACACCCGTATTAAGCACCTAATAAATGTTGTGTATTATTATTACTATTATTATTATTTTATGTAGGAAAGTCCAGATAAACAGAATAGTTCATAGAGTTTATACTTATCGTCCACGCAATGCAATGGAAACTGCTGAAAGATAATTTCAGGCATTTCTTTGCCATCATCGTTGTCTAACTGAAATTTAAGTACCGGTACTTCCTATATCAGTTTGGACTCATTTTGGTATATTAAATACTTGCACATGACAAATGTTAAAGAGGAATCAACATATCAGTGACATTTACAACCACGGGACCTAGCTAATTACCTGATGAGTGTGAGTATATTGTTGGTAGGAAGACCCAAGGATTGAGATGCTAGCATGGAAACCTCCAAGATACAATGTAGACTCCGTAACCTCTTGACCAGCTCACCCGGGGTCAAGAGGTCAACTGATTGGACGAACCATTCCAGGGAATACAGGGTGGTCAACTTCTTGGCTGCAGGGAGAAAATGGAAATATTTTATAGTATTCGTCCAGCTATTCCCTTTTTTTTAATACTCATCCTTTTTTCCCCATGTCCATTCCACTCTTTATACATATCTAAATCTTGAAACAATCACAGTAATATAAATACAAACAAAGAGATTTATACAATTTCCAATATTAATTTTCATTCATTTCCAAGAAATACTAACCAAATTTAAATCAATTTATATGATCAACTTAAAATTGATACAAATAAGATAATTCAAGTATTTTTGTTATTTCACCTTGAAACCAAACTAAAGTAAAGATAAATATATATATATATTTTTTTTTTTATTATTGATCATTTATGAAAAGAACTTAATTTTTAAACCACTGGATCTGGGACAAAAAGCATTTTGCCACAGTTATTAGGATAACCTTTTCTGTCCCTTGTGTTCCAGCGGTTGTATTCTCAATTCTCAAGTTCTCCATTGTCTGTTTTCTGACTTCTGTATTTTCTTTATTGCCAAATAAAATATTAATAATAATAACCATACCATTATACGTTCCTAACCCATTTGGGAATATACATTGTGTGCTATGAGCTTCTTCTACCATCTATAAAACCTTTGAAAAAAATCAGGATGCTGTATTTAATCACAAAGATTTTTTTTAAGGCACCTGATTGCTATTTGCAATTGATCACTATGTACAATCCATTGATCAATTAGTAAGCTTTGTGTTATGGGCCCAAAGCGTTGATATCAATCTTGACTATGTACATAAGAGATAGGAGATTGCAAACTTGTGATTGATTGTAGGACTTGGGATTGATTAGGATCAATTGCAACTCTTTCTAAGATGGGGCCCAGGTCTACAACACTTATACATTCATGATAGGCCTACCTAAGAAGAAGTTTGTATAGTCTCTCTGAATCTTATCAATGGCTATCTCCACAAGGTGAGTCATTGGAGAATGATTTAGACTGAACATATGGGCTGGGTCTTCGTACAACATCCGGAGCTCTTGGGCTAATGTAGTCTGATTACTTCTGTGAACCTGATACGAAATAGAGAATAAACAAACAAAGTTCTTTAACAATTTCATACTATCATGGGTGAAATGACATAAAAATCTGAAACATTATTATCCTTCAGAAGAGGCGCGATGGCTCAATGGTAGAGCAGTGGTCTCTGGAGAGGTTCCAGATTCAAAACCAAGTCAATGCGCTTGTGGCCTTTGGTAAGGCATTAATCATCATTACCAAGTCCCTCGGAGAGGACTTTAAGCTGTCGGTTCCCTGATTGTTTACTTACAAGCATATACATGCTTTCTTAGCAGTCAACAATCATCGATCACAATCATCATGAGATTATTTGAGTGGAAAGTTTTTAACCCTCAGATTTCATATTGCTCCTTTCCTCCGCATCCCAGTTTTACAAACCTGTGACAACACTTTCTGAGAAGAAATGTTTTGTTTCATGCATATCCTAAACAATAAACAAAAGATAGTATAACATAAACCAAATTAAAACAAAACAAGAAACACAGCACAAAGCAAAACACAACAAAAACAGAGAATTTGTTTCTGCTTCATCAAAAACACCTGCTTTATTAAATTTGTGTAAAAAGGGTGAACATATTCAGAAGGAACTGTAAAACATAAAATAAATGGTTTTTACACTCACCATTGGCTGTATCTGTCCTCTGTTAAGTTCATTGATCACCATGCTGAAGGCTGTAGTGATATCTTCATAACATGTTGCATTATTCCGGAGGATATTCCAGAGCCGTTCAGTGAAGTCTAAATCGCTTCTATCAAACGCTGCCTTCCAACAAAGCTGGGCATCCAAATCATCAGCGTCGTCTCCAGTCTTTCTCTAAATTATTAAAATAAAAAGAAAAGAAATTGATTAAAATGAAAATATTGCAATGTTTGAAATGGTAGCTGGTTCCTGTAATGTTTATACACACACAAACTTGTGTGAAGAATCATAACTGAAGTCATTTTGCACAGAAGAGATGGTTACTTGTACCTGAAATTGACAAAATTGATGTATCCAACAACAATTTGGAATGGATTAGCATTCTAACTTATTAAAAGTAATGCTAATGAAATCATAGTCATATTATGTTCCATTGTATTTGTATGATAATTCAAACAGCATTGATTCTGTTTATGGGCACCAACTTTGACATGTGTAATACTTTCTATTTTGAAATCTTTGATTCTGTAATGGAATCAATATAACCAATTGCTTTCGTGGACGACATCAATAAGAAAGCCTTCTTTCTTAATACTAGAATCATCTGTTTCTTAAAGATCAGCGACCCCTTTTTCAAAGCCTTTTTTCAATGACAAATGACAAAAGTCAGTGACAAATCTGCTGATAACCAATCACAAGCAAGGATTTCACTAGCATATATGTGACCCGGCACCACAAAACCAACAAAAAGTTGCAAAAAATTATTTTCCTGATTTCATCTGATTATGAAAGAAGAAGTTCTCCTCATTAAAATGGTATATTACTTGTCCAAATTGAAGCTTCCTAACCCTTTCAATTTAGTGAATGAAAAGAGCTGGTGAGGGAGGTTACTGGTATTAAATTGTGAGAAAGAGAGCTTTAAAGTTTGGGGCTATTCAAGCATGCGGAGCAAGCAAACCACAGGGTAATCAATAGAAGGGTGAATCAAAAGGCCATAGCAACCATTATATACCTCATTTTAAGATTCTTTACTAATCCTGTCTTCTGATTGGTTGAAAATGCAGTCATGTTCTTAACCATGCCCGCTAATTGAAATTCATAGTCATTTTTCCCGGCTCTACCGGTTTATATCCATTTTTCATAGCACTTTTTCCATGGCTGTGAAACGTGACGTCATTTTGCTGCGATCCCCATTTTGGTTTACGTGTTACCGTATAAGTTTCTTTTGTGCAATGACCGATGCGCAATACCGTTAACGGTGTTTGAGTGCAATTCGATTTTGGTCGCTGCATTCAGGCGACGAATCTACCAATCCACGCAGCGCAGACGACCGATCGCCATTTTGTGTACTAGTCTCGATCGCAAAATACTGGGGTTTTTTGTTTCCAATTTTTTGTCAATAAAGAGGCAAAATGGAGGACACAGCTATGCCAAGATTTCAACTTATGGATGACATTCAGCTGCAAGACTTAATCGATTCTGCTGATAGCAAAAATACGAAGTATGCAGTAAAATACGGCATTAAAATATTTGAAGAGTTCTTGCGAAATGTCAATACGGACCTCGGAGATGTAAACAGACTTCCGAATGCAGACCTGGACAATGTTGGTGTTAATATTCATGACCTCAAAGAGATGGAAACCTAAATGGGTGAGTCAACATTTTCCTTTTTTTCGGTATATAAAATATATATTGACTGCTTTTAATATTCGAGGCATAGTTGTTTCTATAGGGTCTCGGGAAACTCACAACCTGCTATGACCCCGCGGCGCAAGCGCCTTGGGGTCATAGCAGGTTGTGAGTTTCCCTTGACCCTATAGAAACCACTATGCCTCTCAAAGCAGTCAATATATCCTTACTATGAAGAGATTTTCAGATTAGGCTGAAATTTGGCCTGATGGTCAAACATAGTCTGTTCATTATGTTTCTGAGGTTTCAATGTGTGGACTTAAGTCTTTAAGGTGGGCCCCTATAAGCCTATGTCTCTTATCACTGTTGTTGGTGATGGACCATACAAGAAGGAGACTGGCCCTGGTAGCTTTATGCATGCAGAAATAGCATGCTAAGTGAGGGGTCAACCGACTTGTGAGATACAGGCAAGCGTCCTGGTCCACCTTCTCGTGGTGGGGGTTGTTAACCCATTGATTTCAATGGGGACGAACAGACCAGGGTTGACAAGAAGGTAACGGGAACCCACTGTCGTAAATTTTCCCGAGAATACCACATGACGCACAGACTGAATAAGAGAAACAAGCCTTTTCAGGTGGAAGTTGAGACCCCCAGGGTGCCCACCCGTAATGCTACTGGGGAAGAGGAGGCGACAGCGACAAGATATGCCCATGACGGTGGTACCCCAAACTCCGCCTCGGAAAGGATATCATCTGATGGCAGGACGTCAATCCCGTCTGTTTTTAACCTATGCAAGAAGAAGCAAGTGCTACGTTTAGGCACCTGGAATGTGAGAACAATGAACCAGTTAGGAAAACTGGAACTCCTGATAAAAGAACTACAAAGTATGAAACTAAACATAGTTGGACTAAGCGAAACCAGATGGAAAGGAGAAGGAGTACTCAAACCAGACAGAGACACCACTATTGTCTTCTCAGGAAAGGATAGCGGCAAAAGTGAAAGTGGTGTAGCCATCTTACTCACAGACGAAGCCAGAAATGCACTGGATGCATACACCCCAGTCTCAGAGAGAATTGTGATGGTAAGACTGACAGCAAAACCAAAACACCTCACCATCATACAGGTCTATGCTCCCACATCAACACATGACATGAACACTATAGAACAGTTTTATGGCCTACTACAAACAACTGTGGATAAAGTAAACAGTGGTGACACACTACTAATCATGGGAGACTTCAATGCTAAGATTGGAAAAGGTGAAGACATCAGGTGTGGAGTAGGCAAATTTGGCCTTGGCAGTAGAAACGAGAGTGGAGATAAATTAGCAGAATTCTGTCATGTCAATAACCTTATTATAACAAACACAACGTTTGACCACCACAAGAGGAATCTATACACTTGGAAATCTCCTGGGGACAGGTATAGGAACCAAATCGACTACATCTTGATCAGGCGCAGGTGGAAGTCAAGCATCAAAGACGCCAAAACTTTCCCAGGAGCAGACTGTGATACGGACCATATACTGTTAGTCGCAAAGATGCAAATCAAACTGTCTAAAATCAGCAAGATACCAAAATCAAGAAGACTGAATGTCAAATCACTTGAAGACCTCAAAACTCTACAGTCTTTTTTGAACTCATCAGAAGCCAAATTCAAGAAGAATCTATCGGAAGTAGAAGCTAACACAGAAGTTTCATCAGAAACTTTATGGACAGTCTACAAAACAGTACTTAAAGAATCTGCTGAAACAACCCTTGGTAAAGCAACAAGACGTGCTAAGAAGCCCTGGATTAGTAATGAAGTCCTCTTACTAGCTGAAGAGAAGAGCAGATTAAGACGGGATAAAGGTACAAAAGCCAAGGAAGAAAGGTACAAGAATCTAAGATCAGAAATCCAAAGAAAAATAAGGAAGGATAAAGCATACTGGTTGGAAGAAAGATGCAGGGAAGTGAACGATTTCAACATAGCTGGTAAAGCCAAAGAAATGTACTCAGCTATCAAATCGATCAAGACCAACCCCAGAGAAGCACAACAATCATGCATAAAAGACAAGAACGGCATCATTTTAGATCAGAGGAAAAACATAATGGACCGCTGGAAAGAATATGGAACTGAGCTTTTCAAAAGACCAATTGATGAGAGTCCACAAAAAGAAGAGAAGGTCCCTACAATGGAACAAGAACCAGTGCCACTTCTTTCAGAAGTTGAACACGCGGTGAAGAAGCTCAGAGCAGGGAAGGCACCAGGAATTGACGGAATACCAGCCGAACTGGTGAAAGCTACAGGACCATATGGTATCAAATTTCTCCACAAATTGTGTGCGAGCATTTGGACTTCTTGCCATTGGCCAGATGAATGGAAGATACAGGAATTTGTTGTTCTGTTTAAAACTGGAGATCAAAAACTGTGCTCAAACTACAGGACTATTGCCCTTATCAGTCACACCAGCAAAATCTTACTCGTGATAATTGTTAACAGGATGAAACAAAAGATAGAACAAGAGCAACCAGAAGACCAGGCTGCCTACAGAAAAGGCAGAGGGACCAGGGACATGCTTGTATGTTTGCAAGTTTTACTTGAGAAGGTGATTGCCATGGATCAACAAGCTTTTATTATGTTCATAGACTATTCAAAGGCGTTTGATTCTGTAAGCCACAACAAACTTTTCTCCATCTTCTTAGATATGGGCTTCCCTAAGCACCTCGTCACTTTAATCCAATCTCTCTATGTAAACCAAAAAGCTAAAATCCGTTGGGATGGTGAACACACTGAAGAGTTTGAGGTAGGAAAAGGTGCAAGACAGGGCTGCATCTTATCACCATACCTCTTCGTCACATACACGGAAAGTGGGATGAGGGAAGCAGATGTTGCGCACTACGGCATTAAATTTGGTGGCAAAAACATCTCAAATCTCAGATATGCTGACGACACAGCACTTATTGAATCTTCCAAAGATGGAATTGTAAGTCTCACACATGCAGTAAACAATGCCGGCAAGAAACTCAACTTACATCTAAATGTTAAAAAGACCAAACTCCTAGTTGCTGGTAAAACCTCAGATACCGATCGCAGCATCCAGATCGAAGGGGAAACAGTCAAAGAAGTGGAAAGCTTCAAATATCTTGGATCTACAAAGAACAGCAATGCCAGCTGTACCACTGATATAAAGATCAGAATAGCTATAGCGAAGAAGAGAATGGTTGACCTGCATGTACTTTGGAATGACAGGAACATCTCAACCGGCCTGAAAATAAAACTGGTCAAAACCCTGGTTTGGAGTGCTTTACTTTATGGTGCTGAAAGCTGGACACTGCTCAAAGCCGATGAAAATCGCATCATGGCAGCAGAAATGTGGTTCTGGAGGAGAATGCTCAAGATCAGCGGGAAGGACAAAAGAACCAATCTCAGTGTCCTACAAGAACTAAACACAGAAAGAGATCTCCTTGGAAAAGTGGCCCGCCTCAAGATGGGGTACTTCTAGTGCTGTAGTCAAACGTTTAACCGTCCGGTATCCGACCGCCCATGGCGGATTCCGTTTTCAATTGGACGGTTTCGTTTTCCCGTTTTTTTTTTTTTTTTTTTTTTTTTTTTTAAAGTTTCGATTTATGCCCCTCCACCTGGCACTATGTCTGGCAATGTCTCCCAGCTCAGTAATCGATGTGATGACTTACCACTTGGAAACTAGAACAACACTCCAATTTGTCTGTCATCTTGGTTTGAAAGTAATCTTTGTAATAGATCTCAATATATATTCATCCAAGTTTAACACATGGTGTACCACAAGGTTCTATCCTAGGTCCTCTACTGTTTTTAATTTACTTTAATGATCTTACACATTATTCTAAAACGACATTGTTACTATTATTTGTGACTAGTTCACAAGCACAAATCGGCGCCTTCAGTTAAATTACCTTCCAGCTTTTTCACACGGATTTTTAATAAATCGTTTAACCGAAAACCGTCCGGTTTTGACAGGCGGTTAAACGGAATTGGAGATATCCGTGATGTTACAGCACTAGGTACTTCGGACACATTCTGCGTGGCAGTGGGAGCCCCTTAGCAGCACAAATAATAGAAAGCCAAGTAGAAGGAAAAAGAAAGAGAGGCAGACAGAGAAAGCAGTGGTTTGATAACATCAAAGAATGGACAGGTCTCACATACTCAGAAGCTAAAAGATTAGCACAGGATAGAAACAAATGGAGAAAGACAACAAGAAGATGTGCAGATGTGGTCGCCAATCGCCAGCAACTGACGGCGGCAACCAGGTAACCAGGTAAGTCTTTCAAAAGTTATTATGTTGTAAATGTATAGAGTTGTAATTGGACAGATTAAGTGAACTGCAACATAGTGCCGAGACACCTGCACTAGACAATGCCTATTCATGGTGGACCCGGAGTCTTTTTGTTCCCCCTTACATAACACTGCTTGTCACTATCTTGTTTTGTATACATCTGGGCAATTATTTATAACCACATTATGAACTTGCTTTATACTTAATTCCCATACTGTTTTCTTTCTCACAGGAGGTTCAAAGTATTTTTACTATGACTTGCTCTTTCATTTCCAGTAGCCATCCTGATGATAATTAATGGAAGCAATTCATAAATACCAGCCAGAAAGTGGTATAAAAATAAAGAAAGGCAGGAGACACACAGTAAAGACACCAACATAGAATAACAAAAAATAGAAAGAATGAGAGAGAGAGACAGAGAGGGAAAAGAAGGGGGAGAATTATGATAGCTGTAAGCAAAATGATGATATCAAGAGTGTGAATGTGTGTTTACAATAAGAACTTGATTTTAAAACTCTTATGGGAGAATAAATTTGGAAGCACAGAAATGAAAACAAAATTATTTAGGGAATGTCACAACTCTTTCTCATCCTGTATCACAAGTTTAAAAATGCAACAACTCTCTCTCATCCTTTATCACAAGTTTGAAAATGCAACAACTCTTTCTCATCCTGTATCACAAGTTTAAAATGCAACAACTCTTTCTCATCCTGTATCACAAGTTTAAAAATGCAACAACTCTTTCTCATCCTTTATCACAAGTTTGAAAATGCAACAACTCTTTCTCATCCTTTATCACAAGTTTGAAAATGCAACAACTCTTTCTCATCCTGTATCACAAGTTTAAAATGCAACAACTCTTTCTCATCCTTTATCACAAGTTTAAAAATGCAACAACTCTTTCTCATCCTGTATCACAAGTTTAAAATGCAACAACTCTTTCTCATCCTTTATCACAAGTTTGAAAATGCAACAACTCTTTCTCATCCTGTATCACAAGTTTAAAATGCAACAACTCTTTCTCATCCTTTATCACAAGTTTGAAAATGCAACAACTCAAGCTACTCGAAGTCGTTAACGGAGAATATAAGACGAACGCAAATCTGGAACTCGGATGTGAAAGCGGATACAAACAAAATGGCGCGCCGCACTGATTGCTATAACGGACCAATCACAGCCCGCGTAGCACGACCCGTTAGCAACGACCGACCATTTCCGGACTACGATAATTTCGCTCGGGAAAAGTGATCAAATTTTGGAAGAGACCGAAGGCTGTGCGAAAAAAACTGGTCTAGAAAAACCGTTTAAAACACATCTTCTACTATGTTTTAGACTTCCAAATTTTGATACTAGGTACAGAAAAGACCACTCTTTCAGAAAATGCAAAAAAACAAAAATCTATTTTTTTCACCTAAATTGACATTTTAGCTGATTACGGAGAATCCCTGGTTGCGACTTTTTGTTGGTTTTGTGGTGCCGGGTCACATATAAACAAAAACTGTCATTTGTCACTGATGACAAGTTTTGTGAAATGGGGCCCAGAAGTGTTACAGTTGCCATGCTATACCAAAGGATATTTGGTGAGTCACAAATATCCTTGGTGACTCATTTTAAAATTCTTCTCTGAATGAACGTTACCTTATAAATGGGTCCACCTTTGATCTCATCCAAGAAGGTTGTTATAAGATCTTGAATTGAGCTCGTCTTCTCTCGTGTTATCCAGTTCACTTCTCCTGTTTCTAAGCTGTCAGCAAATGTCTACATGAAAAAGACAAGCAATATATGTCAACACCAGGGGAGTGTTTAACTATGGCAGGCTGTTCATGCCACTGTTTTCTCTCACCATTTACTGGCATTGATCTCTCATGGGACGTACAAATCATGGCCACAAATCTACAGAAATTGCTTTTTTTAATAGTTCACTATTGAACAAAAATATTATCTTATGATCTTAGTCTTTGTGAAACACTCCCCAGTACATACAAATATAGCAACTAAAGTAAGTTACATGCAGTCGTATACTGGGTACATTAAGTATTTTGTTTCTTGGAAGAAAATGCCACTGATGTTAAGTCTTTCTACTGCAACTTTAATTTGAGCTGGGATGGTAGACAGAGCAACAAACATAAATCCTACCTTTAATAAGCATAGTTCTTTGTAGACTTCTAAAGGGGTGTTTCTCATGTCACCTGGCACAGCACGTATCAGCTGTGAGAATAAACATGTGTGGAAAAAGAAAGATCTTTATATGTGATTTGAATCAAGTAGCAAAAGTTTCAATCTTAATAAAACCATCCAGTTGTAGCTGTTATGGTCTGTATTTTTTCATTAAATTGTTCATACTAAGTCAAATGATTAGTTTCAAAACATATAACTAAACACAGCGTTAGCTCTTTAAATGATAAGAAAACTTAATAATGACTAGCACATTCTGTCTCCTGTACATAATAGCTTTAAATTGGAAATTTATTTGAATAATGTATGTTTAAACAACAAAAGTTGTGAATGTGATCTACCAAAGCAAATATTTGTAGTTGAGGAGCATTAACACCTTTGATAAGAAACTTTAGAGAGTGTGGGAGAAGGGGGAGATTAGAGAAATGCATGCATATGAAAGATGACATCAATATTTAAACTAGATATGACATAAACCTCAGTAAAATAAGATAACAAATGGGAGTATATTCTCACCACTTTACAGCTAGCATCCCGTGGGCTCTCCAGTATCTTCTTGACTTGGTTCCATGTACACTCTACTGCTATGTAGGAGGAATCACTACTCTGAGTCTCAGCTAATGTGGTATCTGCACTAAGCTGGCTGACCACTTCAAACTGAGCAAAGCCTTGACTTGCTATGTACTGTTAAGGGAAATAATAGGAAAACAAATCATGCCATTTCAAATATTCAATAATTCCTCTGGCACCTCAGAGGTAGAGCCATAAAATATAAACATAAGACAGTCATGAAATACATCTCAAGAATTCCTCACTAATTCTCACTTTACTGAAGAAGTTTTTGTCATTTGCTACAGGCAAACAAGACCACTAGCACTGATTTGTGTATGAGTCACATGAGCTCAAAGAGAAGGACACAAAAATTGGGACCGTCGTGGTCGAGTGTTTTAAGGCACTGGAGATGCGAAGGTCGAGGGTTCAAACTCCGACACAGCACTATTATCTTTTGGCAAGATATTAACCTATACTTGCTAGTCTCCACCCAGGTGTTAAAATTCGGTACCTGATAGGATGCGACCGTTATTGTTGGTCAAACAGTTTTTGAGCGTCAAGTCATGCCTGGCTGGAATGCTCCCCAGGGAGTGGCAAGCACTGAATCCAATGACCGGGGTAATAGTATATTTGTAAAGCGCTTAGAGATGTCCGAGATGTATTAAGCTCTATATAAAAGCTGAATATTATTATTATTATTAGCAAAAAGAGTAGATAGATATACCTTAGATGCTAAGTCTTCATGAGCCTCTAAAATAACCTGCTGCAAAGTTGGAACATCTGCCTTGCTAGAAATGGGATCTGTAAAGTATACAAAGAAAATATTTACAGAATAAGAAACTTGAATTCATTACCCTGCTCATGCTTTGTAACCTAAAATACTATGTAGTAGGAAAAGTTTATAAGATTTATCCTGATACAACTGCATTAATTATTTTGAAATTTAGAAATCTTTACATTCTTCTTGCTATAATGATGCAATAATCATCCCGACAGGAATGGTTATGGAAAGAAAGGCAAAATACTTTGACCACTTTAAAAGACATTAGAGTCTCTCGAAACATTTATTGGACAGAAGAGTAGAAGGTACCAAACCAAGAGGGAAACCAAGAACTATTAAACTGGTAGGGGAACATTAAGACATGGAGTGGAATGACACTGCAAGAGTGTACTAGGGTGGCTGGAAACAGAGATGTACTGGAAAATGTAGCAATTCCACCTCCAAGCTGGGAGAAGATACCTCAATTGATAGATAGCACTACTAAATCTGATTCATTGCTGAGAAGAAAATTATATATTTCTACAAATCCATGTATGAGCATTCGTTGAAAACATGTTCATCAAGAAAGTCTGTTTTCAAGATTAGACACACATTCATCAAGTTTACTAATCAAAACGACTGTTCCTCTAAAATAATGTAATAATGACATCTTTAAACTTACCATCAGATGTGACTGTGGTGAGGATGAATGGACTGCTGTCTGACTCCTGACCTGAACCGGTATGGGCCAGTTCACAGCCGATCAAACTGGTTCTTTCTGGATCCTTGCCATCACACAGGATCCATAGTGGAAGGAGAGACTCTGGGTCTACTTGGTTGTTGGTCTGTACCAGGGGACTATGCAGCATGGTGTACATCGTCAGAATGTTCCTGTTTGTAATACACATGAATCAACTGATGTAGACATTCTCTTTGAAAATACAAGCCACTGAAGTTAAAATGAGCGAACTGCATGTAGATTTTACAATCCTACTTCAATTTAGATATAGTATGCCTAAACAATGGGAATGTATGTCACTTGATTTCCCTGATAGCATTGAGTCCTTCATAAAAAGTTTCTTTTTTATGAAAAAGATACAATTTTTGGACATGAATCCAGAACATACATGTGAACAATTTTTTTCTTCTTTTCTGACTCAGCGCAGCTTCTTACCTTGCATCTTCCACTGGCAAGAGATGACTGTCTCTATCCTCTCCATTCAGTAAGCTACATGAACTGACATCCTTGCTTTCTTCCTTAGATTCATCCAAATCAGACTCTAAAGATATGTCACCATTTTGATGTGAGGTATCATTCTGTTAAAAAACAAAAGAAAGAAGAAAATTTATTTATTGAAATATTTTTACCACACAGCTGGCATATACTGTATACCCTTTCATAAACAATAATAATAATTGGGGTGGGTGGTGGAGTGAAGAGATCTAGAGTAAAAAAAAATGCTCTTATGTCCATACATTTAGCAGCATCAGGTGCAGAACACAAGTTTTTATACATGTGAAGGACAGAACCTTGCTTTATTCAATCCTGGTTGGGTCAGAGGTCACTTGATTTCCTTCCCACATCCTATGATGCCCTGAACACCATTTGTCCATCCATGAGCATGTGTGGTTACCATGGCAATCACTTATTTTCATACAGGTTTGTACATGAGCGCTCATAATAATTAGTGCTCCTATTAATATTATGTATTCTTCTACTACTTCTTCAGTCTAGCATGGGGAAGAGAAAAGTGTAATCCATAGTCTCTTACATTTACTAAGAGTGTCTTTCCAATTGCCTTTAGATATTACAAAGTTTAGAGTTTATAATCACTGACCAAATAACTAGCTACATGCAATTCATAGAGTTTGTTTTGTATAGTGTAAAAACATGGGTAATAATCTTTCCACATCATAACATGATATGAGAGTAATGGCTACATGTAACTAAAGTTCGTACTTGTCTATTGTTTTTCTGTAGCAAGGCTATCCTCTTGTTATGTTTGTTAGCACAAAGAAGGTCTTTCAAGAAAGTTTCCCCAACAGATACTGCTTTGATGAGCCATCCTTCAGCTGTTATCTCACTGTCTTCTTTAGCAGCAAGTCTGTGAAAAGTTGGGATGAAAAATATTCCATATAGGTCTAGATCTAAATCAGAGATTATTCAAAGATGTTTATGTAAATCAAGATATTACAGGTTATTACAGGATATTATAGTTTCTTGTGCATTATTTTTGGTAAGCAAATATGTTCACAATTACAGGCAAGGGACATGTGTATCTGTGCCATTGTGGACTGCATATCTTTACACTTTTATTCTGTAACTCATTACACTTTCTTGTGTTCATCATCAGTAGCAACCATCATCATCATCATCATCATCATCATCATCATCTCCATAGGTCTATATAGACTAAAAAACTTAACAGCTTCTGTCTCTATTAATAAATTAAATTGATGGTTGTTCCACTGAGAATACGTCTTACTCATGTGACCCCCTTTACTCAGTTAGACTCAAACTCAGAGACTGCAGTGCGTCGCGTCGTTACTCGTATAAGGGTGTAGTGTGCCGGAAGCTCGGAGTCGGAGGCTACCACTACACTAGACCGAAAGCTTCAGTCTCTATAATCGTCGGTTGTTCCACTGAGACTACGTCTGGCTCCACTAGACCTCCGGTTATAGAGACAGAACGACTGCCTATGCCAGCCTATGTTGAACTTATTCCGCTAGATTTTAGCCGCTAGGCCCCTCCCACAAACTTGCCACGGCCGTATTGTTATGCCCCCAAAATCCCCCAAAATGTCATTTTACCTCGTTCATTTCCAATTTTAAATTAGGCCTAGGCTATAATACATCGGTTCCACTTACTAACTTCATTGATATAATCCGTTTAATGGTCCCTTTTAAGGAAATTATCGGTCAAAATCGACATCCATGTTGAAAATCTTGCAAGCCGTGTTAAACTCTCGCTGCCGTCAATCTCATCCTTTCTAGTCTACGCCGAAGGCAAAATGATTATGAAGGAAAAACTGTGCGCCATCTACACGTTCGTAATGGCGTTATCACAGTTTTTCCTTCATAATCATTTTGCCTTCGGCGTAGACTAGAAGGGATGAGATTGACGGCAGCGAGAGTTAAACACGGCTTGCAAGATTTTCAACATGGATGTCGATTTTGACCGATAATTTCCTTAAAAGGGACCATTAAACGGATTATATCAATGAAGTTAGTAAGTGGAACCGATGTATTATAGCCTAGGCCTAATTTAAAATTGGAAATGAACGAGGTAAAATGACATTTTGGGGGATTTTGGGGGCATAACAATACGGCCGTGGCAAGTTTGTGGGAGGGGCCTAGCGGCTAAAATCTAGCGGAATAAGTTCAACACAGGCTGGCATAGGCAGTCGTTCAGTCTCTATAACCGGAGGTCTAGTGGAGCCAGACGTAGTCTCAGTGGAACAACCGACGATTATAGAGACTGAAGCTTTCGGTCTACCACTACACTACCACCAGTACCAGTACTCAGTAGGCCTACAGTACTCAGTAGATTAGTAGATAGACAGATTAGCTCAACTATAGTATTAACCAGATTGTGAACAAATTGCCACATAACCCCCTGTGTAGTTCAAGGTGTAGATCCAATTTTACATTGTTCATAAAGTCAATCTAGTAGTAGTAACATTGTCATTGCGCCGACGATACGGCTCAGCTCAGCTCAGCTCAGCCTCATTCGCAAGCACCACCAGCCAGGCATACACCAGGCGGCCAGGGGAGCGGGCGGCTAGCAGGGTGGGCAAGGTCAGGTCAACTCCGAGGCATAACATACAAATTGTCGACGCGTTGGCGTTTGTGAGAGCAGGACACCTTTTATTTTGCTTCTTATCATACTGTAACTATCAAATTTTTATCAGTACTCACCTCTTCATTGTATCATTCAGTAACTCGATAGAATCCATCTTTATTTGCCTGTTGAAAACGAACGGGAGCTCACCGAATACGTTTCCTTCTGATAGATTGAAATTTTGATCTTCGCGCAATAGCGGTGATATTCTAAACCCTGTGTTACTTTCAGACAACCGGCCGCAGTCACGAACCTGAATCAATTGCTGTGATAACAAAAAGATGTGCTAAGCAGGCAAGTGCGCGCGATGACCAAAAAGGATAACCAAAAAGGATAATGATAATTTAAGAATCTAAAATATCATTCAAACTTTCAAAGTCAGCTAGGGAAGTTCTGAAAAGTACTCTGATTTCCACACCATATACACATTTATAGCCCAACTCTCTCCCTATTTTCTACCTTCCTCTCGAACTCTCTCTCTCTGCTCTACTTATGTGCTAAATAGGTTGCTTAGAAAATGATTTTCTTATTCTTACAAAATAGGTGATCAGTTTCAAAAAATGAATCTGAGCCCTGTTTCATAAAACTTGTTACCAGTAACAAGTTGCAATAACTGTTATAAGCTACTGAAATCAAGACATCTGATTGGCTGAGAGCAATCAGAAATTTAGCATTTGATAACAAGTTTTATGAAACAGGCTTAGATCTAGTTAGAGCCATGTTTAGTGTCATTATTAATGGTAAAAGAAATGCCCCTATAAAGAATAGGCCTATACAGAATACCGCACTTTATCACATTTTACCAACGTGACAGAAATCTCTGTTCATCTTTCAACATTCTCTGAGTTCCTTCCAAACTTCCTACCCAAGAATATGGTTGATTCTTTTCAATAGAATTAATATTCCGGAATGAAGTTTGATATGAATTTCATGGAGATGCTCCGAAACCAATTCAAATGCATTTGAAACATTTGAAGAAGGCTCTTGCATTGTTAACTATTCTACCTGCTCACTTTCTGGTTACTTCTGTTCTGTTTTATTATGCTTATAGACATTTCACTTTGTAACATGATATTGCAAATTGAAATGTTTCGCTTTTTTGGCCTAAATGTGGGCAATGACCGAGTCATGAATGACGGCGTTGTGATGGCCGTTTACATTTTAAAATCATTCTCTGACCTTTTTCCTTATTTTCCTCTCTGAATTCCTGCATTCAATCATTGGTATTAGGATATTCACTTTTTCTCGTGAAAGGACAGGGATCAAAGAAAATGAAGACGAACTGTAGGAGGCTCTTCCCTTATAAAAGAAGCTCATTATCAACAACTTACTCCAATCTTCCTTCCCTGTTTCTCCTCACCCCTGTCTGAGTTCACAACTGAGTCGAAGGGTCCTAAATTTATCTATCAACAAGTAATTTAGCAGGGCAACATTCTGCCGTACTAAAATGATCATTTCCAGATAATCTTTACCCAACTACTGGGAAAAACATGAGGAAGTATTCTTTGGTGGGAGTTATTGTATCATTACAACTATCAAACCAGAAAAAATTACACAAGCACAACTTAATAGAAAGTACAATGATGATTTTTTATTTTTTTATTCCCACAAATGGAGATCAATGATTTTAAATACGATCATAGTTTACACACAACATTGTTGCCAAGTCCCTGCCTGGGCATACAATATCTGTAATTTACAATATCTGTACATATTCTCAATATAAATGCATGGACCAGGCAGAACATTAAGTATACAAAAAACATGATTTAAAATAAAGTACAATAAAATATCCGTACATTTCTGAACAAAACACATTTCCATCAATTTTGTTATTATCCTTCTTAATCTCCAGACACAACTTATTTCTTTAAAAATCCTTGTCATATCTGCAAATTTAAAAGAAGGCAAGAACTATAAAATTGTGATATGACATTTTTCGGTGACATGCTTATTTTTGGTGGATGGATTCTTCAACTTAAGTTCATGGACATGCATATGCTTCAGTATTGAATGTATAGTGATATAATATATCACTACACAAAGATGCATTTACTTCTGTACTCTCATTTTATCATTTTACCAATAAGTAAATAATTCAATGTTTTATTGCCATTCACTAATCTCTATAATTCATGAGGCTATTAATAGAACCATTGCATTGTCATCAAATTTGACATACAGCCATTGAGAGGTAGTCTGTGCTCCAAGGTTGGGTCCAAATACATGTATATACTACCAGAACTGCAACAATTCCAAGAAAATGTGGGGTCAAATCATCGTTCATTTTTTATAATAACACCTCTCTCTCATTATACCAAGAGGAACACCACCACAAATATATGACCAATAAACAATATGAAATCATTACGTTGCATCAAATTCATCTGTCAATGAGAAATCTGGTACTTTAAAAAAAAAAACAGGCAACTGCCAAGATGAAGTGCCAACAGTAAGGGCTGAATTTCAAATGTAGAATCTGACAAAGCGTTTTGATCCTTTATACACACATTTAATTTAAAGACAGACAGAATTTAAAGATTACAAAACATAGCACATCAGCACATTTCATGAGCCGGTATCCCAGAAATTAAAATATTCAATATGAGAATTCTTAAAGGGAGAGAGGGAGAGAAATAGAGAGAGAGAGAGTGAGAGAGAGTCGATGAATCTCCACTGCAACTACAAAACATGAGATTCAACATCATTTCTAGAGTTGATCACCATTAGGCGTAAAAGAGAAAAGATGTTGTATTGCCCTTTGCGACCCAAAAATCTTGAAATCTACGGTCGACTTTTTAAAAAAGTTTTGTTTTTTTGTTTACCGTTTTTTTAGAAAAGAAAATGTTTAATGAATAAAAAATATTACAGCATTCACAAATGAGAAATATCAGCCCAAAGAGGGAGGAAAACAATTAAAAATAGATTAGTCAATGGTTTAACAGCATTAAATCAATATTTGAATGATTTAAAGGATTTAATGCCCTTCTGGTTCCAGAAGATGATTTCATCAAATAAGTTCTTTGAACAACATGTGACCATCTCTATTTAAAATACAGTAAATCAGTGCATATTCCTCTCCTGAATTACTGAGTCAATTTGGGATATAATCTCAATTTAAGTCAAACCCACATAGGTCGATATTAAATGCATCAAAATACAAACAAATGACAACTAAAAAGAAATAAACTGTTACACTTTTCATCCTCCACCTTGGTGTGAATACATATCTGTAGATATCTTTCACCAATATACAATCCATGCTCTTCTTACAGACTCTCATTGGCTCCTTATAAATGGAGATTTAGAAAATAAATCCACAGCCTCGGGTCAATTTCCCATGAAAATAATCTTCATCACTGTAAACACATGCATGGAATAAGAAATGATAGACACACAAACAAAATAACTTTGCTTGAATAACCGATGAACTTATAAAGCAAAACTAAATACACTTTTAGGAAATATAATCAAATGCTCATTGTGCATATGCATTAGATTAAAATCATGCACATGCACACACAAAACAAACTAAATGACAAAATATATGAGCAAAATTTTTTTTTAATACTATCAATCATAAGCAGATTTTTGTCCAAGCCGGGAGTATTATCTATCAATAAAATACAAACATTCTCTGCATCATAATATTACCATTTAATAGTTAAAACTTAAAATAGGCCCACTTATGAGCAGTGTGTCAGTGTGACCTGTAACATGCGTAAAACAGTGGATAAAAAAAGAATGCTGGGAACCACTCTTGTGACCAAATCACATCGTGAGTACATTTTGAAAAAAAGCATAAAGAATTAAGGATCATGTGCAGGTTATGATCTTTAATGTTCAAACAAAGATAAGCATTTACCCCAAAGAGTACATCATTTTTTAAAGAAAGAGAAATGAAAATAATATCTGCATAACATTGATGTCTGCCATCAGCATGGTTAAGTCAGACGCTCGTCTGATAAGGCATCATGATTTAGACAATATCAAGTGATATCAGATGCTAGAAGCTATCTGGAGATATGACATCTTTGAGAATGAATAGGAGTGTCTACCAGGGGGTGTTTCACAAAACTTGCATTAGTGACAAATGACAGTTGTTGTTATAAGCTACTGAAATCCTTGCTTCTGATTGGTTATCAGCAGATTTGTCACTGATACTTGTCATTGGTCATTGAAAAAATGCTTTGTGAAACAGGTCCGGTACTCTTCTCATTTGACGTCAGCGAGGAAGACTGATTTACCCAACTCATAGGAGCCGATCATGATGGCACAAGCTGGGGTTATCTTGAAGAGTCTGGGTAAAGTACCTGCAAAATAGAGTGAAGACATAGCAGAGGAACTGACATGTGTCTAGTGTTTACATTGGAATTAAATGACCGCCAATACATTACTGCTGATCTTTAAAAACTGAACCAGAGAACAAAAGATGCGTGTTTAATGAAAATGAAAGTGTCTTATAGACAGGGGCAAGAGGGAATATTGTAAAAGCAAAAGAATTAAATGATGGAGAAGGACATACATGTACCAATTTCTGTCAACAGAGAAAATACAAGAGATATTGCCATAGCAGGTATAAACACAAAGAGTGGACCCAGGCAAAAAAAATCTATCTTTTAAAACAAATTTATATCTTTTCTGTTTTATTTTTATTTTGTTATCTTTCAATACAATTATAAAAGATGTTATAAACTTAAAATGTTTAATTATCAAGAAAACAAAATCCGTCCCTAAGGAAGGAGGCATGATAAAAGGCTCTTATTAACTGGAAGATCCTGCATTATAAAAAAAAGTAAACCTAAGTGCCCTTTTGTACAGCATTCATCCTTAAATCCACCCTGATATACAGTTTGTTTTAATAAAAGCACAACAATGAGAGAAACAAATTAGTGAAAGTTTAAAGCAAAATCCAATAAGAAATGGAAAATTATTGATTTCTGAAGTTCTTTCAAGAATTTGTGACCATCTCTTTATAAAACTAGAACATGTATGATTTTTTGCTCAAACTTTCACAGACTTGTTTGTCTCATTTTTCTGCCTCTATTAAACCCAATTTAATATTAAAGTGGACTTCCCTTTTAATAACAAAGTCCATCAGATGGGACTATAAAGATGTAGGTTAGCTCACTGATTGTATAAATGAGTGTGACTTACCTGCATATAAGCCATTCAGTCCCTTTGCAGCATATAACCTCTTCATGATGTTTAAGGTGCTACTTGACACTTCTTTTGATCCTGAAACAACAAATTAAACCGAACATATTGTGTCAACAAGAAACATACAGTAGTCCATTTCAAAAGAAGAGCAGAAGAAATGAGGTGCAATTGAAATAATCTTTTATTTACAAGATCATCTCAAAATGGAAGTTTTCAATATATCTCAGCTAATTGCATCAAAAATCTATTTACGATAATTGATTTTAACCATAAACTACTTTACAACGACATTGCCTACAGTTTGTATGACTTGAAATCAAAGCTAATGGTATCATAATAATGTCCTCGGAATTTGTAGGAAAAACTTGCTATATTTATAAAGAAGTCCTGAAAAAAACTTTGAAGTTTGCACGCTTGCATGTAGGCTTGGGCGGTTCTCTTGTTGATGAGAACCGATCTCGGTTCCCACTCTCGGCCTCGGTTCCGAGCGGATTCGGCTCCCGCTGGCTGCCAGATTTGCAATGTACTAAAAGGCCATACACACACACATACACACACACAAGTACACACATACATACTCTGTACTTACTGTGTATGTCGGTTCCACGCAGAATCGAGTGTATGGGACTGCATTGATAGTAATGAGGGCAGCGTGCAATTATCACGACAACTATCTGATTTTCTTGTGAAAACTTTACTTTAAAAATGATTATCAAAATTAAATAAACATGGCTAGAATAATCACAATTCAAGCTTTAATTTCATACCTCTATTCACGAAAAGTATACACATATCGCGGCAATAATGATGGAAACAGAGCAATATCAAAGCAGGGATGTCCCTGGTAGAAGTGAGCTAAGCTAGCTCTCTCGGTTCCGACAGCAGTGGCACTGTTAGCGCTGTGTGTCGTCTTAAACAAAGTATGAATGTATGTGAGTGTAAATTGGTGTTGTGTTTATTTCTGATTTGTCTCATGATATCTCTACCATTACAAGCAAACAAGAGATGAATGGTGATAAATCCAGGGTGAGACAGCTTGACAGAACTTCCAAGTTTACAAAAAAGAAGATTAAAGTGCAGACCTAGCTTTATAAACAGTTATAAAATGATTTATTTTACTACTTTTATTCAAATCGAAAATTTCAAAAACATGACCACTGCTGAAAAAGTAATAAATCAATAACTCCTGGCAAAAATATAAACCAAAAAAAAAACATGTCTTAAATTCTAAACGTCAATGTAGAATCATGGAATAATCAACTCATAATTGCAATTTTAAAACGTAAGAAATGCAGAACAATGATTTCCACTATTAGTATTATGGTAAACAATCCATTAATCATTATTAGATTAAGAAGTTGTCATGTACAACTAAAGATTCTGACCGATTCCCTGCCTAAAATAAATGAAATATCATATCCGAAACTTGCCCAGCCCGGCCCTCCGCCCATAGACCTATCTTTATCTAAGACAAAGTAAGAGCTTTAAACGAAAGGACATTTATAAATAACTCATGCTAACATGACCGCCTGCCCAAAACAACCCAAGCACTTTGTCAATTTAATGACCCCAGCCCCATTCCCATGGTTACAACCATGTGCTTTCTCTCGCACAATAGAAATAAACAAGAGATAAGGGTGGGCGCTAGATCTTGGTATGGGGAATACTAGTCTGCATTTTCAGCCTCTGTTAGAGATTGCGCTAATGCCAAAACAATATTTTTTAATGTTGTTGTTGTCACTTCATACCAACTAATAAAAGTCATGTTTGTGTCTGACATGAATGATGAAATATCACTTGATTAATGCTGATACTTCAATAATTACTAAGAACATTTAAATATACGTTTTAGAAAGGAAATGCCGTCAGAGTCGACAAATTATATTTACAAGCAGGTCTTATCAAGAAGACTAGTCGATATTGTTTGTAATCCTGGGGGTAGTGTTGAATTACTTGAACATAAATAATTTGTTCCTGGGAAGTAGACGAGGCAACATAATGCAGCAAATGTTTTGAAAACAAAGATAATTGATAACAACGAGAATGCGAGAGGGAGAAGTAGATGTAGACCTGTCAAACTTATTCTTTAAGAAAAGAAAGAATGAAAAGAAACCTGATGAGGAGAATTCAAGAGATATAGAGAAAGGAGGACACTGTAACTTATGTTTATTTGGGGGAAGAAAACTAAACGATGTCTAGTGGAAGGGGGAGACAAGGCGAGATAGAAAGAGTAAACACAAAAATCTCATAAATCAGCTCACGAGAGAAAAAAACTAGATGGAATTTTGACTGCGCGCAGTCGAAAATGATGCCTCCGCCATAGAGCAATTTAAACAAGTTTGGAGTTTAAATCTCCAGTGGTTCTTGAGATATCATGATAACAATCTCAATGTATGGAATTTCATAAGTTGACCTCTGTGACCCTTGACCTTTGACCTACGTGCTCCAAAATCTAATCAGATTGTCTTCCTATGGTGATACACACTATCATTAAGTTTGAAGTTTAAATCTCCAGTGGTTCTTGAGATATTATGATATGGTGATACATACTATCATTAAGTTTGAAGTGAAAATTCTCCAGTGGTTCTTGAGATATCGCGATAACGATCTCAATGTATGGAATTTCATAAGTTGACCTCTGTGGCCCTTGACCTTTGACCTACGTGCTCCAAAATCTAATCAGATTGTCTTCCTATGGTGATACACACTTTCATTAAGTTTGAAGTTTAAATCTCCAGTGGTTCTTGAGATATTATGATAACAATCTCAATGTATGGAATTTCATAAGTTGACCTCTGTGACCCTTGACCTTTGACCTACGTGCTCCAAAATCTATTCAGATCGTCTTCCTATGGTGATACATACTATCCTTAAGTTTGAAGTTTTTACATCTCCAGTGGTTCTTGAGATATCATGATAACAATCTCAATGTATGGAATTTCATAAGTTGACCTCTATGACCCTTGACCTTTGACCTACATGCTCCAAAATGTAATCAGATTGTTTTCCTATAGTGATACACACTATCACTAAGTTTGAAGTTTAAATCTCTAGTGGTTCTTGAGATATCATGATAACAATCTCAATGTATGGAATTTCATAAGTTGACCTCTGTGACCCTTGACCTTTGACATACGTGCTCCAAAATCTAATCAGATCGTCTTCCTATGGTGATACATACTATCCTTAAGTTTGAAGTTTAAATCTCAAATGGTTCTTGAGATATCGCGCTAACAAACTCAATACAAGGAATTTCATAAGTTGACCTCTGTGACCTGTGACCTTTGACCTACGTACTCCAAAATCTAATCAGATCGTCTTCCTATGGTGATAAATACTATTCCCGAGTCTTAAGTTTAAATCTTAAATGGTTCTTGAGATATTGTGATAACGGTCAAACGGGACGGACGTACGGACGTACAGACGGACGTACGGACGTACGGACGTACGGACGGACAACCCGAAAACATGATGCCTCCGGCACCACCTTCGGTGGCGGAGGCATAAAAAGGATGGGGGGGAGGGCAGATGACTTGCAGAGTTACAGACAACACACAGCAGTATTGCCGACCACATGCACACACGTTTTACTCTGACACACAAATGTGTGTATCAGTGCTCTCATAGATCGCATTGCATATTCTGCTTTGAGAGAGTTGGCTCTCATTCTTGGTGCTGTGGAATCGACTCCAGCGCCGAAGAATCGGGTCTGGGAGTCTCGGAACCGACGTGCTCGGGTAATCGACTCTCTAGAGATTGGAGTCGACTCCTCGGTTCTGGATTTCAGAATCGGGTAGAACCGGGTACTCGGCGCTCGCTCCCAAGCCTACTTGCATGTCAATACATATATTTCATTTTTTTTGCAAAGTTCAGTTTTGTTTTAGTGCTGTCGTGCAGTGCATGCGAGCAGTGTTTAATGACCACCTTGATTTCACGACGAAATTTTCAGTAGAAATATATTCCCTTCTGGATTATAAATACTTGATCCACATTTGGTTCATGCCATGTTCACTTACTTCTCATGTCTCCAATCTCCCCCATCTCCAGCTGTCTGTGTGTCTTTAATACATCAAAGGGCTGTGTCAGGACTCCTGCCACCTACAACAACATTTATACAGCAATCAAAGCAAATATGTCTCCAAAACATAGAAAATGAGCATTTCATATAAAAAGAACACACATAACTGGTAACATTTGAAAAGCAGAAATACATGTACAAATTGGAACAGGTCACATGGGTCTGCCCAAGATCTAGTGGGAACAGTATGTAGAACTCCTTCATAATATCTTTAGGTAAGGTATTAATCTAATTGTATTTGCCACTCCATACCCAGGAGAGAAATGGGGACCTACAGCCTTTTCACACACAGCTAAAATTCTATAAACATGATTAGTATAAACGTGTTTGAAACGTGTTTAAACTAATCACGAGCCTTTCACACACAGAAATTTCGTTGCGATCGTTAATCGTTTCGTGATTAACTACTGCTCGTAAAATGCGCAGTAGTGCCATTGCGCATTGAAGGTCAGGCCATATCAAACAGAGCGGTCGCTCCATCCAGTTTAAACACGTTAAACACAAAAAACCTTTCACACACAAAATGTCAAGCTCTTTAGATACGAACTTCGTATCGGCAGCCTGCTTTTAGGGGCGTATGCATCGCGACTTCGTATCTATCCCAACATCGTATAAACGATGTTCACACTGGGAAAATTTTTCTATAAACATGTTTAAAACTGTTGAGTGATTCTAATCACCTCTGGAAACGATGAATTTTAGCTGTGTGTGAAAAGGCTGCTGGTAGGATGACGAAAGCCTTTTAATTTATAGTAATTGCCATATGCACTCACGGTGACCATGTAGTAGAAAAAAATCCCTGGCATATTATCTGGCATTCAATATTTGATGTTCATGACAATGAATCATTTTATCATGGTAAAAGACTGGTGAAAACTGAATCAATTGTCTTACACATTCCACCTGCGACTGAACACAACATGAGACCCAGTAAACTGCATCAACTTCAGTGGTAGAGACATTTTAGATAGCTACATTTGATCCCTATATATAATCCTTCATATCTTTTCAGGATTATTGAATAATCTTCTTTAGAGAATACTTGTTAATAGAATTATAATATCAATTACTAGTTACTAATACTTACTGTGCCAGCAAAAGCTCCTGAGAAGAATGCTATGGGAAATGTTGGAGTTGTGAGACCATATTCTTTACATATTCTCGCCTTCAGAGGTTCATAGTTCAGCCATAATATAACTACAAATAAAGAGAAAGAAACAGGGGATTGATATATATTGTAGACACTATGAAGTGATTGTGTACACAGAAGTAAATTTTGTACAGTACTGTCCATTCTTTATTTCTTTTTCCTCCATTTGAGTTCAGTTTTGTTCTTGAAAACAACTCTTTGATCTTCACTCTCAACGTTAAATTTGAATATATGCCATTGAAGATCACACTTCCATCTCCACTTAAAGGTAGTTTCACAGTTAAAGCTATACTCCCTCTCTCCCCCCCCCCCTCCCCCATTTAGTTTTGAAAGCCACTTCTCTTAGTATGGATTGACGGCATGTTATCACTGACAAATTCATTGAGTTAGATTATAATAATAATAATAAGATATTTCTATACCACAAATTGCGGTTTGTGTGACTTGTGTCCTTGATATCATATAAAATCTCTATACAACTGGGCTTATTTCGTCTTCCAAATTTCAAATAAAAAGGTTCTTCACAAAATATTGGTCAATCTATAGGCAGATTGCATTACATTCCTTTAATAATGAAGACATTGGGAACTATAATATTTTGTTAATTTGCATACACTACCAATACAAAAAATTGAGGGGTCAGTGACACAAAGACGTAACTCCATTTTGAGAAAAAGTGTTTATGTGTCACTGAGCACTTGGGCCTTAAGGAGCTAAGTCTATGTTTCACTCGCCATTGACTTTAAATGGGGTGTTGGGTGGAGTTAAGCCCACATTTTTCTGAACATTTTACTATCAAATACTCATTTTGGCAAAATATGAAGTTACATCTTTGTGTCACTGAACCCTCAAAATCTTCTTTGCAAACCTGAGAAAGGCACATCTCTCCAGACCATGGGGCTCCATCCCCTCCATAGAGACATGATGCCCTCTTCTGAGACAGCCGTGCGGACACACCCTATCATCTCTGCGTAGGTGAAAGGACGGGACTGCATCTTGGTGCGTATAAGCTCAAGCGGGGCAATCACTGTGCATGCAAATACTGCGATGATGAAACAAGGGAGTGGATAGTCAATGCAGTTACTGCAATTGCTAATTGTACAGTAATCTTAATTTATGTCAATTACAATAATGAAGAAAGAATTCTCACAGAATTACAGGAAACTACACTGAATGTTTCAAGACTTGCTATCTACAAAATGCCTTTAATAGAAATATGTGGGATAACTAAGAAAAAGGCAAAGGGAGATTCAATATTGGAAATCTAATTATTCACTAGTCACTAAAATGCTATCTATTTTGTCAATTCACCCAAGGTTCTTAGAATGACTGAATAAAATATATCCCACAATAACGAATGAAATCGTTGATTGAGATACAATAAATCTATATCAATAACACTGTAATTATCATTGTATTAGCTAACAGTACTTGATTTAAACAACTAATATGGTTTTATTAACATTATCCGCTTGGTTGCTATAACGATAGTATCTCATAAAAACTCTTCTGCAACATAAAAAAGGCAAATATCTCTTAGTGTCAGACTTACATCTTGCACCGCCCCCTGCCAGCATGGGTTTCCAGAATTCTCCTTTGACTCCCTGCTTGTAGTCAAGACGATACTTTAACTGGTCATAGGAGGTGTAGTAGAGGATAGTTGCAGGTAGCGCCATCAAACTACGGCAAGAAAGGAAAATACTAGTAAAAAAAGTATTACCTTAAATATGTGTATTTTTTTATTTGTATTCAAGTATTTATTGTACATTCAAAAATTTGTTTTGCACTGGTAAAAGTTTACAGATCAATTTACAAAAAGAAAAAATCATAAACTTAATAATCATAGACAGTGCTACAGTAATTGTAAACTGCATTCATAACAGCTGTAGTTGGGTATGTTACATAAAATAAGTTTTGTTTGATGAGGATGTCGACAGAGCGAGAGAGTAGAAGAGGACCAAAGGTAGGTAGGCAGAGAAGGTGGGTAGTGAAGAAAAGATAGAAAGAGAGGAAGTCAACATAATGATCGCAGATGATATTAAACAGGGGAAAAAATACAATGCTGTATAGTTCATTGAATACATTGAACACATTGAATACATTAGGATGATTCTACTAAATACAGTAAAGACAAGTTGAACTTACAGAGTGGGAGAGAGACCACTCCACAACTTGAAAATCCCTTCATTTCTTGCTATCTTCACAAATGCATCCTGTAAAAACGAAAAAATTAAAAATGATGAGTTAGTTTATGATTGTGCATCAAGCCACCAAAAATTACAAATGCTGGAAAGTAATGACTATAAAAATAACAATTTTCATTCTCAAAAGTTCAACTTTGATACCCATATTAATGCTGATAAATACCACCAGATGAGTTAATCAGCTACATGTAATGATGAAAATAATAATCTGTTTTAAAGGGAAATCCAACCCAAATGAATAAGAACTCTAAACTCAGAGAAGCAAACTGATGAGAGTTTTAATTAAATCTGACTAAATATAAGAAAGTTATGAATTTTTTAAAGTTGTAATCACTATATGTATGGGCATTTCAAATTGGCTAGAGTGGTAATTTCAATGTGATGTAGTGCTGGACTACTTTGCCATCTGTTCCAACATATAAAATGACTCAATTCTAAATTATTTTTTTATTATTATTTGCGTAAATGTGATTACATTACCCAAGTGACAACCTATCTTGGACATACCAATGTTCCATTAAACTTGCTGGGTGCCTTGTACCACGGAGCAGTTGTCCCTGGTTTTGAGCCATTTAGACAGTGACACATGTGGTCCATAAGACCATTACAGTAGAAAAAGCACTGACCTAAGAGAGACAGAGCAGTTCATCAACATTAGGATATGTATTTGATAAGAAAGGAAAGTGATCTCACACTTAAATCCATCACTTCTAAATCTGGCAAAACAGTTTCCTGTGACATGTAAAAACTCTTGCAACATAACAAAAATACATTTTGCATGGGAATCAAGACTTATTCCTTAATGAATTTTCTTTAAACCAAACTCCTCATATTTCATTTTATACAATGTAAAAGAGACATTTCTTTCAGAATGGATATCATGTGAGGCAATTGAACAATAATTTTTAAAAAGGGCCCCCAATGACATGTTACATTTCAGGAAAGTTCAAAGATCTATAATAAACAAAAGAAAGTAGAAAGATATATAATGAATTCCATCATTTCATTAAATTGTAGAGAAAAATCTCACGAGTAAGATTCTAATGCATTACACTATTAGCTTGACACAAGCTATAAAGTTTACTTCTAACTACTTAATGAGAAATGTGTTTCAGATTTGATTTCTCTGTTTTAATTGAAAAACTGAGGCACACACTACTTTAAAGACCGTCAATACTACTGGGCCAGAAGGAATTAGACCACACAGCGAGGTCACTGACAGGTGGCTATCTCATTAACTCAGCTCTCGAATAACATAAGAAAAAGAGGATCATGGGGGACCAACAGGCACCGATTGGGGAAGTTTTCTATATAGAGGGAGCAAGTAGCTACAAGTAGGACAGTGGGGCTTTAATAGTTCCTAGGGCACAGATGTGAAATGAAGGTTTAGTGACTTACCACTCTTCATAGGTTTTGCCTGAGCTTGTAGTCTTATCTTCACTACATCAAGTGGGGTCACTGTGAGAGATGAAGAATTATTCAAATGTAACGCACTTATCAAGCAAGTGAGCTACCCCTCAAAGCATAGGCATCAAAATGAACTTTGCCAGAAGGTATCAATAATTTTTAAAAGTTACAATTCTAGTGACTCTTTCATTTCATATGACAGTGAATGATTGTTAGTGCATATTCATGAGATGTCTTAGTCCTTTATGCACACTTGCACAGATGCAATTTACTCTTTATTCAGTATATTAAAACCTGCATTTTTATAATGTAGTAATGCAAAAGAAGCTTAACATTATAGGGATGGGAACAAGATTGTGATGCATTGATGCCGATGATTTATGATTAAATCAATTTGATATGTTCTTTTTGATATGTTCTTTTTGATATATATATACTCTTCTGGGGTCTTTTTTAAATTTTCAAACGTGATTGTAATTGTTTGTGGATTATTCACTTTTAACTGGAAGAATAAAGATAAATATCAGTCAATTCTGTAAGGGAACTAGGTGGTTCCTGTAACAAACCTAGCGGAATAAGAGCATGTATTAAGAAGGCTTACAATGGAGCAACAGGGTTTTTTCTCCTATAGTTTTCTCCATTCTCACCCTGGTATGTTCCTGATCTTGAAACCCTGGTTTAATTCTCACCAGGCATATTTGCCAATTCACAGTGACATTTCAAAACAACAATAAAAATGCAAACTGAATTCTCAAAGTGTCATAATTATGTAATTAGTAATTACTAATGCCTGACCTTAATTGATCATAAAGCAACTTGTTGATAATCTGTGAATAGAAGCATTTTTGGGGGTAATATGCTAGTTAGAATGTATACTGTCCCATAAAGGAAAATCTTACTTGTAATAGCAGTGATGAGAGCACCACTGCCAGAAGCAACCATTTGATGCCATGGTTTCAGGGAATTAGGGTCGAGTACCGGCCTCTTTCTCTTTTCCTTCTGGCCATCTTGTCCTGACATCATCAATGTGTGCTATCTAGCATACCACTGAAGCTGGTCTATTGCAAAGACAAGACAGGTGTCCAAGCACAAAAATCTCCCAATGCTGTTAAAGACAAATTGAAAATTAGAATTTGATTCAATTTAGTTTTTATTGTAAAAAAAGAATAAGGCATATGTCTGCAGACTCATCATATTGTCATATTTACAGTAAAAACAAAAATGAAATAAGGTTGTTAATTGTACATATGCTTTCTCATGAGATCTTATGAATAGAATATCAATGCATTCCTATTAGCCTAATTCTTATGCCAAATTTACATTAGCACATTTTCGGAATATAATATATTAGACATGCTCAATAGTAAAATGCTTGTATGTGTTTGAAATTGATATAATGCTGGTTGAAAAAATATATAAATGTGAAGCATTATATACATACACTGTATATGTACATGTATGGCTATGGGTAATCTAAATGAATTTGTAATGCAATGTGATGCATCAACAAACAAAACAGATGATTGCTTGAAATCAAACTTTGTGTTTATGAAGCATGATTATTTAATGCAGCCTGAACAAATCTTTGTTCTATAAAATTGTCCTCAGGAGACAATTTGTGAGAAAGAGAAATGATTTCCAACAAACTTTAGCAATAGGGGCAGTGCAATTTAAATTTCAAGGGATGGATTAGAGTTTTTATCGCCCAAGAGGGCTATCTTGATGTTCTAAATTGCAAAAATGTGAGAGCTTCTCAGTGCTCCGCCTCCTGGACCCCATCCATAAAGGTAGAAGTATTTCCCAAGACAAGCATCTGTTGTATAAACTTGTCCTTTAAAGGTAAGAGAGTGTTTCAAGATGGTTATCTTGAAGGTTCTGAATTGCTGAATTTCAAGAACATCTTGGGCTCCGGCTCTGCCCCTGGACCATGCACACAGAGAAAAGCTCACATTTTATGCGCTGTTGGCTTTGATCCCCCCCCCCCCCCCCCCCAGGGTGCTACAAGAATTTTTTTCACCACTTGCCCTGTCGGGCAAGTGGGTTTTCAATTTACTTGCCCAAACAATATTTCCACTTGCCCAAAACTTTAAAGCGAAAAAGGACTCGAGGTTAAAGCATTTATTATCTCGTAATGATAAGTTAGTGTTTTAGATAGCAAATTAATGCACATACATGTACAGTGTAATTTGGGTCAACTCTTCCATCAAGAAACGTCATGTAAATAATGGGTAATCAACTATTTTAAATAAAGTACGGACATTTTTATTTCATCATTCACTGCTATAAATATCATGCCAAAATTTGTAAATTCTTACTAAATAATAATATTGAAGATATTTTACGATAAATCTCGGATAAGTATGCGAAAACTAGACTAAACAACGTCGCTAAAACCATGAAAACAAAACAACAACGGCTTATATTCTGGGGGTCTCGATACTATTATCAAAATGACTCGCTCGGTCGGATCTTGAGACCGCAGTAATAAATTGAAAACGAGACAAAAACATTCATCTGATTTATATGAGCAGCGAGTTTTAAATAATATGTTCACAATCATTAACAGTCATTATGAATAAATATCAAACATTTGACTTTTTGTACTTACTAGAAAATCCCTGTTGTTTATTCCCTTCCGATTCGCACGTGTTCATTTCCCTAGAATAATGACGTCATATTTGGCGTGATTCAACCAATCGGCAATCAGAGAATAGCAAAGGCCTGTCGGTGCGGCCTGCAGAGCTAGAGAGAGAGAGCGCGAATAAGCTCGCAGCTGGTACGATCGCGCTAGCTGTCTCTAGCTAGCTCACGGCCGGCCGTGCGTGGAGGCGGAGCGGCATTCATGGCTTGAAGTGTCACTGTTGCATGCGCGCTGAGCTAGCTGAGCTGGCTAGCTGTCTGTGAAGTTTTTTCGAACTCGGAACGATCGCTTTTTTGCTTCTGGATTTTGACGACGGGTAAGAAGTTGACGGGTGAATGGTAGAGTTCTTGGACACTAGGAAATTACTGTAAAAGTATCACTTGCCCGAATCGGGCAAGTGATAATTTGATTTACTTGCCCGACGGCTCAATTTGGTTGCCCCGGGACGTCGGGCAAGCGGGTTTGTCGCGCCCTGCCCCCCCCCCCCACCTTGGGAAATCCTGGATCTGCCGCTGAATTAAGAGTTTAAGTGTCATTTTTGTTCAATTGCTTCACTCACTCGCAAAATTTTGAAATTTAGGTTGATAATCTGGTACTGTGTCGATTTAACATGGCGAAGATAAGTTCAAATGCGCGATATGTGCTGCACAAGCGTATTTCCTCATTGCCATGTTGAATCAACGACATATAACATGGGATGAATTGGGTTAGGATTACGAATCACCCTTTTTCCCATCAAACTTCAAAGACTTCTATTATAATTTCAAGTGGTTGAACGGATGCCCAGAGCTGAGGATTTGAAAAACATTGCATTGTTAGTCAAATTGTAATTACTTTACTAGATATAAGTTAGACCTAGACTTACTTCCTTACTTTTCAATAAAATGTGCAGGCTCTGGAGTTAACAAGAGTAGTACCACTCCAGCAAAGCATAGAGAGTCAATACTAATGCGTAAATGCAGCTACATCAGTACTAGACAGCAATAACCATCTGATTTGGGTCATTTCTTTAATAAAACTGACATTTGTTGTCATTCCCCAATACAGATGGCAACCCAGAGATCTCGTACCGTGGGGGTAAATTAGAGCCACAGCGTAACAGCTTTTCGTTACCGACATTTCTCCCCCGATTTTCTTTATTTAGATCTAATTTCCTGATTTCTAAATCAGATGTAAATTAGGTCGGTCTATATATCTCCTAATTACAGTTTTCAAAATTTGCTAACCTATTATAGAATGTGAAATTTTCGGACTTACTTATATGAATTATCCAATTTGTTCCTCAGAACCGCGAAGCACTTACGTTCATGCATTCGAAATATTACCCGGCGGCCGATATATTTCCGGGTCCACCTACCAAAACATAGCCAATGGCCAATCAGAGCACTCATTTCGTGGGAGTTCGTTGGTCAAGCCGGGCCGACTCGTATGTAGCTACGGTAGCTATTGGACGTTCGAAAAGAAAAAATTAATATTCATCAACTAAAACCAAGAAGGATAATGTTGACGACGAGACTTTCTCGGATTAATCATTAATTTAGGATCTAAATGAGCAAGCTATCGTAAGTCAAATAAGCTATATAGAGTAGTGGCTCCGGTCTGCGGCCGATCGGCGGGAACTGCCGATTCTATTTTTATTGGAATACTCACAGAATACTTCAATACCCTCAATAAAGAGTCCATATACTTACTTATTAAATAGAAGTCACAAATAACCTAACTGACCCACAGCGTGGTCAGCATTGACCACGTTTCGAAATGCTTCGAGTTCCCCGGTTTGCGGGCACGCATTACCGGTTTGCGGCACGCGTACGTCACAAAGCTTTATGCGCTACGTCACGATGAAAGCATGTACCAAATTACTACGGGTAACCCAAATTCTCATGTTTATCTGTTGCTACGGTAAATTTGTCAAGTTTTAAACAATTTCACCTTTTCCTCGAATGGATCATCCCATACGGGGGTACGTACTACTAGAAACTATCGGGTCATAGCGGGTACACACATCAGCACACATACCATCATACACGATCACGCATGTTATGTGTGTATTAACACCCCCCGCCGCAAACCAGAAAAAACACGTAATTACGTGCCGGTTTGCGGCCACCCCATGCAACTGGCCATGCGGTGGCACAATCAAAATATCTGCGATAGGAGACAGACCACAGCCATCATACTTCCACAAAAACATCAAATTTCACCTCCAATCGGACAAATATCGGACAAATAGAGCTACAATATTGATCTAGTCATGCCTCGATCTCTTAACTTAAAAGTTAGCACCTGCTGGAATTTTCATCGGCGACTGGTGCCGTAGATTTCCGACATCGCTGACGGATACTCCGTACCGACAGGAGCACCTGCTACGGACGTTTTCGGCAAAGCAGAACTTACCGTGGAATCCGCGGTAGGTTTCAATGATTATTATCGAGTCATATTCATTTTATTTTTAAAACAAATACCCCTGGCCGCAAACCGGACGATGCCGCAAACCGGAGACTCTACTCTATATGTTATTTTTAATTAGACTCTAATTATTGTCATATTGCAGCATGTGTGAGGATGTAAAGAGTGAAAATCTCGTAGCATATCTCATTCATCGCGGTCCTGCCGAACCGAACCATTGGTTCCGTACAGTCCCGATAGGACAATCTTCAGTCTCTATAATCGGAGGTCTAGTGGAGCCAGACGTAGTCTCAGTGGAACAACCGACGATTAGAGAGACTGAAGTTTTCGGTCTACATCAGTACATGTATGTGTACTCGCACACGTGAATTGGAATCACCGAATGCGCGACCGGGAAAAACATACGCAACGCACTGCACTGTGACTGTGAGTCCGAGGCATCACGACCCGACTAGGCCAGGCGCCAGCGTCAGCGGCCAGTTAGGGCTCAGGCGCAGGCATCATCTCAAACATTAATAATTATTAATATTAACGAAAGCAAACCACCACCAGCTCAGAAATGAACAATAATAACTCAAATATGGGATCAAGGTTACTTCAAAATAATAATCATTAGTCATTAGTTATTACCGAGTTTTATTCTGGGCATCAGATCACAAAAATTCGCATGCAGTTCAGCATATTCGTATGGTAGAATCTACGGAGATTACGCAACAGCTTAACAAGGGTTTGTCGTAGAGGGCCTGAACAACATTTATTTCAATGCTGTCGTCTGCTGCGCAGCTGCATGATTGACTTCTTTAGCTTCCTTCCTTCTTTTTTTTTCCTCCCTCCCTTCTTCTTCGTTTCCTTCTTCCCTTCTCCTAGTAATCATTCATCATAACTTATCCTTGGATCTGCATGCCTATGATATTAGAAAGAAGAGTAATTGCTTGGAAGAGCGTCGATGTGGCTCTATTTCATCTAAACATCAGATGATGTCTGCAACCCACTGTATTTTAATGAGCACCTTTTTATTTTGATTTTTGAACTCTGCACCCTCAGTTGTGATGTTTGTTGACAGTTTACGATGCCACGGAAATCTGGACGTATATACCAATTGGTCCTGTCCAGTGCCACCTTAGATGTAGATGTAGAAGAACATTTTCAAAAGGGAAAAAGTATTATTAAAAATTAGGAAACATAGATAAAGAGGGAATGGGAAAAAATGAAAGAGGGAGAGGGAGAGATAAAGAGAGAGAGAGAGAGAGAGAGAGAGAGAGAGAGATTTTCGGTGCATATAGGCTTATAAATACGTCTATAGCTGTGATAATCTATGCTTAAATATTTTATAGATTGTTTAAACGATGAAGAAGAAAAATTAAGGAAAAAAGTTGAGGAAGAAGTAGGAATAGAATAAGGAAGGAACATGAGAGGAAGCAAGAGGAAGAGATTTAAGAAGATGATGATGATGGAGGAGATCGAAGAACCAGTGGCGGATCCCCCCCAGGAAAAAATATGTAAAAACACATTAATTTTACCTTTTTTGGGAGATGCCCCCCCCCCCCTGGCGCTCAAAGGGGAGGGGGAAGCAAATTTTCAAATTTTCGAGGCCCCCCCCCCCCCCCCAAAAAAAGTGCTCACTACCCCGCAGAAAAGGCATTAGGGTCTATATCTTCAAATTGTATGGGCTTTGGCTTGGTCAGCAGCCGAGTTGCTTGCACATCCCAAGTTGGAGCCCAAAACGGTGTTTTATGATTTTTGACTGGCTTGGTGTGCAAAAGTGAAAATGAAAAGAATGAATTAATCAGTCAATAGGAATCTAATAATTATTATTTTAAAAAACTGAGTAATTAGAGCCTCGCTATTTCTTTTTACACCTGATGAAAGTGTCGAGGATACCGTACCTCGAGCAGGCTAGCTAGCTCGCTCAGCACGGCCACCGGCCATCAAGTACTGCAAGCGCAGCCACCCGGCCCGGCTGGCGCGCGTGATACACGAGTACGAGTACGATCCCGCATCGTGCACCCGGGTACTGGAGCTGAAGTATACGTTGATATCAAAGTAAATATTCTAGATTACTAGAACTCTATGATTATGGCAAGTTAAGCACCGAAGACTAAACTATGTATTAAGGAAAAGAGATAAATATCTAACCAAGAATCTCGATTGTGTGTGAGGGGAGACTAGAGTAGAGGAGTAGATTTTAGACTCTAGAGAGTGAACACTGGACATTTATTTAAATTTATTTAGGCTTTAATCTAATTCACTATTCAGTAGCCTAAGTCAGTGTGACGATGTTTATACAAATGTCCAAACTTGCTAGGGTAATATTTCTGACGTTCATTGTTTATCTTAAAGTTGATCTGTCAAACTCATCAAAAGATGTAGCTGATGTTAATTAGATCATGTTAATTTGGCGTGTGGTTTTTTTATAGACTCGACTCCTGTCATTCTATTTCTACTACTGAGTGACATGAGTAAGTTGTGTTTAATATTAGAGGAGCAGAGAATTTGCCATGAAATTAACACCGAAATAATGTCATAGCCAATTTACCTGCTCTTCTTCTTCCAGTATTGACCCAAAATAACTTTGATTTTGAACATTAACTAGACTGGCTTACATCGAAAGGGTGCGTTGCGGCGTGGTGTGGTGAGTTCAACGCACCCATTAAAAACAGAGCCCCTTGATCCCCTTCTCATAAGTGCCCCTTCTCTGGTAAATGACCCTTTTCAGGTTTCGAGGCTATGGAGGCGTTACTCCTTTTCACTTCAGATAAGTAGGCCTACCTCGGCCTCCTTCACCTCCGATAAATACCCCTTTAAAATCTGATCGGTGCCCATTTTCGCCTGATCTGCAAGACTACGTAAAAAGTAGTTCAATTTTGATTATTTCAATTTATAAAACAACATTTCTATTCCTTAAACAATTTTAAACGACTGATGTGAAAGACTAGTCGACACACCCTTTCGGGATAAAAACGCACCCTTTCGAAAAAAGACCCCCCGCTTATCCCGAAAGAGTGTGTTAAGACTGCTTTTCTCGAATGGGTGCGTTGAACTCACCTCACCGCGCCGCACGGTACCGCACCCTTTCGATGTAAGCCAACTAGACTAGACTATCTCCTAAATGATAATTTCTTACCTATTTTTGTGGATCAGGAATTCGGGTACGGTACGGTTACTACCGATATACCCTAGTTGCTACCGTGCTGCGGCAATTCAGATGCTTGAAAGAAAGGTCCCAGATGTTAAAAGGGGCCAATATTGTGCTCAATATATATTTACAGCATTTTGTGTACACAAAGTCAGTGGAGAAACCAGAAACTTTGGAAAATAGGTATTTTAATTGCATGGTAAAATTACCTCATATACATGCAGTCATGTACATGTAGACTAGGTAATAATTCATTATAGATCATGATTCATTTCATTTTGTTTCATTCTTATTAACTTTTTTTTATAACAACACAGGGAGCTTTTATGATGATACAAGATAAGCCCTGACCTGATAGCCATCATGTCGTCATCAAGGAAAAAACACATTCTGCCGGAGATGAAAAAGATTCTCGAGCAGAGAAAAGCTGAACTTGAATTCAATGAACGAGAAATAATACAGCATGTGAGATACATTTCTGAAGAGGTAAGATTACAATATGCACCCTAAAATCTTGTTTGAAACTTTTACCTGACAGCACTTTAACAAAAAATCAAATTCAGAATATCATCTGCCTATGCTCCTGAAATTCTTTTTGCAGAATTATCAGTTATAAGGTAAAGAGCTAGAGTTATTCATTGACTTCCAAAGATAAATGTAGAGTAAAAAGCAATTGGTATTTGTAGGGTTCCAAGATATTGTTGAATTCATGAATGACTTCACTGGGTACAAAATGGGGAATACACATGTACCCATTATAGGAAGAACCTGTAAAGAACTTTCACGTGCATATGATTGGGATATGAAGTCTATGCTCGTGTTACCATAGCATTCAATTTCTTAATGCTCCAAGATTTTCACTTCTCTCTTCTTGGCATAGACAATGGGGCAGCTGAAGGAACTGCTGAAGGAGACGGACAAGAAGAAGTTCCTCAAGGCTTTTCCTACTGTCAGTATCAAGATGGATAAAAGTCTAACGGCTCTCATGATGATCAAAGCATCTCTGCCCAACTTTGAATCAGGTATAGACTTACAATGTAGGATATTCAATTCTAAGATGTTCTTTCTTCTCTTTGTTTAGTCATGAACCAGCAATAATTTTGGGAAAACTACTTGAAGCATACTGCAACATTACTGGTTCAGATTGGAGGACAAAATTTCTATATCATTGAAATTCCCCTTAAGGTTCTGTACTAACAGACACTTGCAAATATGATACTGTAGTTGCCAAATATTCGTGCCAAAGTGAGACTTTAAGATTCTTTTCTGAAATCGATGAAAATGAATCAAAACTAGGATCAGGAGGGACAATTTCAGTCAACAGAAACTTGATCTGAAGAAAATATTGAACCACTTTGCACTTGATAAAATCATAGATGTATCCTTCATTATGGACTGCTGTCCTTGCTGCCACATGCTTCGTAGGCGGGACTGCACTACTTGTAGCTACTTGCGCCCTCTATATAGCAAACAATACCGTACCTTTTGGTCCCCCATGATCCCCTTTTTCTTATGTTAAGTGAGAGCTGATTTGATGAGATAACCACCTGTCAGTGACCATGCAGGAAGGTCTAATCCCCCCTGGCCAAACTAGCGCAGACAGGTAAATTTTGTTGTTGTTTTTGTTGGAATGACTTTATTAGATGAGAGTTCTACCGATTGCGCATCTGATGAAGAGACACCTGAGGCCTGTGATACGCCCACTGTGGAAGACAGGACTGATGATTCTACCACAGAGATTGAGCAGTCTCCGGCTTCGGCTCCAGCTCCCCTTGTCACTCCAGGCACAGAGAATGAAGCCTGTGGGTCGAGCACTAATAACCAGGTGAGTAATAATAGTAATGATAATGCACAGCAGTGAGGGCATTAGTAAGAATTACCCACACGAGGTACCTTTGGAACGTTCTAACACGATAGGTGATAGCCGAGGGTGTTTGGACTGTTTTGAAGGAACAGAGTGTGGGTAATTGTACTAATGCCCGAACAAAATGATGTGCATTATGTACTGCTGCCATTAAAGCCTCACCTCACCTGGGTAGATTGTGGCAAATGTAGATTAATGTCTTGCCAAAGGACATTGTGCTGCGACAGGGATTTTATTCATTTGAACCCTACGTAACTTAACACAGGCACATTGCAGATTCTGTATCCAAGTTTTTACCAATCAGTTCAATACCAGCTTTACACAAACCATGATGATTTTTAGGGCATCTATTCCAAAAAAAAATGCTCCATTTATCTGACTGAATAATTTGGAAAGTCTTTTCTCATATCAATTAAGTCAAAAATGTTGAATATTTTGTAGAATATTTTGTAGATTATTATTAGAATCATGTTTATAAACTTTGGTAATTGAACAAAGAAATATTTGTATATAACATCCTAAGGCTATCAAACTTAAAAATGTATCACTTGCACCCATATTGTATGTTTATTTTTAAAACCATTTTTGTGAAATTGAAGGAGAAGAAAGAAATACTTGTCTCACACACACATATGTATTTGAATTGATTGATGGATGTCAAGCAAAGAACTTTATTAAATCAACCAAAGTGTTATTCTTTCAGACCAATAGCATTGATACAACAGAGTCACGTGGAAGCTCTTCTACGCTGCCGTCTTCCAGCTCCCAGCCGTCTGTTTCACCGAACCAAAAGTCTACCTCATCAGTCAGTAATGAATCTGTGGATAAGAGTAAATACATATCTCCACCTCCGGCTTCATCGGGTGATCCAGCAAGCTTGCCAGGCATAGCAACAAAGCCACTTGAAGCTACCCAGGTAACTATTGCATAATGCATACATTTTCAGGAGTACAAGAGAGGGGGTACTTAATAGATTCAGGATATATCCTGAATGGTGAATATGCTTTTATGTAATTGATAGTTTTTACTAATCCTTAGATTTAGGGGGAAAAGTTTATATGTGCTTACTTTTATTGTGGAAAGATATGCTCATCAGTCCTTTGAGATGTAATTTTATTAATATTTTACCAGTATGATCTAAGTATGTGTGAGTACTTCACATACAAATCTTCTGAAATTCCCATAAATCATCACTTCTTAATCCTTGAAATTGCAATTTGTAGTGAGAGGGTTGATGCTTTAATAGTTATCTTAGCTTTTAGATGGTATTATGGTGCATTATATTTCTTCTTCTGGGACCTGTTTCACAAAGCCTTTTTTCAATGACAAATGACAAAAATCAGTGGGAAATCTGTTGATAACCAATCAGAAGCAAGGATTTCAGTAGCTTATAACAAAAACTGTCATTTGTCACTGAAGACAAGTTTTGTGAAATGCCCCCCAGATGATGATAAATAAGCATCCATTTGTTTCTGTTGTCAATTTGTAGGAGAAGACGGTGCCATCGGGACTGCTGCCATCCGTTCCTAAAGAGATCGTTCCTGTAGATCTCCCGGTTGGTATGAGGGTTGAGGTGGTGGTTAGTGAAGTGGTGTCGCCCTCTATCTTCTGGATTCAACCAACACAATCTAGGATTGAAGCTCTGATGGAAGAGATAAGGTGAGATGTCAAGATTTCATCGGAACCCAGTTTTGCTCATAGTTGCTACTCAGCGTTCAAATTCACTCATATTTCAATTGCTTATTACTGGTACTGTAAAGGTGTAATACAAAGTTTTGGTGTGGGGTCATGAATTTGGTTCAAATAAACATTTTGGAAGCATATGCGATCCAACAATATTCAATTTCAATGATCTTTGTCGCTGTTGAAATCCATTCTCAAGTGATGAAATTGTGAATAATAAACTTTTTTTGTATAGCTCCCTCTCAAAATTGATAATACTTAAGCTTCTAAAGAATGTTTCTCGAAAATTAAAGATCAGAACTGCATATTCTGAGATTTTCATGGTACCAGCTATTTGAAATTTATCAGGAGCACCGATAAATTTTGATATTTCAATTTCTCGAAAGCCTTAGAGTTTTTAGAGCCCACTTTGTACGAAATTGCTTATTCTAACACTAGGTTTCACAATGGTAATGCAAATTTTATATTTCATAATCCAATCCTGTTGAAATATTACCAAAACTATGTATTACCTTTAAACATTTTCAATTCTTTTCTTATGGTTAAATTGTACACCAATTCATTTCAGAATGTCAAAATAAGGCAAGTTAAATGAGATTATTTTAAGCTAAGCAACTCTTATAAAGAAAGATTTTGTTTACCCATTTGCCCAATGGATATAGAACTTGATAAATGAATTGAAAATCCGATTTTAACATCTGTCTTTTAGGAAATACTACAGTAGTGTCGTGAAGCTGCCACCCCTTCAACCTAAGGTTGGGATGTACTGCTGTGCTTGCTTTACAAACGACGACTGCTGGTATCGAGCACGCATCATAGGTTTGTAAGATAGATAGATTCTCTTTATCTTTATCTCAATCCTCCCTTCTCCATATGTATATAAGTAGGATAAATAAAGTTCATTCACGATGAATTGACAACTTTAAGTGGTTGTTTTTTTTTCTTCTCATTACCATGGTTTTCTAAAATGGTAGTAATTTAACCCCCCCCCCCCCCCCCCTTGTTTGTATAAAATCTGGATTAACATGTGTTAAATGAATAAGGGAATAGATAATAATTTTATAGATCTTCTTCAACACGAACAAAAGAGCCTCATTCACACATGTTGCCTCTAAAAAAAAATAATTAAAAAAACATGTTTATATTACTTGAGTATAGTGTGCTTCACATAGAGCTTAGAACACAGATAAAATGTATGCTTTGCTGCCTTTGTGTACATAATTACTTTTTTCACCTCCATGTCACCATAAACAAAATATCTGCCACAGTTTACTCCACCATGTATAAATGATGCTTTTAGAACATTGCATGACTTGTCTGGAAGAGATAATATTCTTCTTGATTTTTCCTCTCTAGCCATACACCTAAGTCCTACTTCAGTCTTGGAAGGAGTCGGTGTACATGTAGATGTGATTTACATTGATTACGGTAACAGGGAGCGCATCCCAGACTCTCGTCTCCGCCCGCTTCATCCTCGCTTCATGAGTGACTCGGCTCAGGCAGTGTGCTGCAAGCTAGCTAGAGTAAGTTAAAGTTATCGCTTAAAATTAGCTTATCAGGCTTGATAATTACCAGATTTAAATCGGTTTCCCAATTTTTTTATTTTTTCCTGATTTTTTTTTCTTCCCGATTGTACCCTTTTTCCCTTATTTTCCCATTTTCCCAATTTTTCCCCCCCCCCATTTTCTATCTCAAAAGGGGGGGGGGGGTATTTTGTTTGATGCCATTTTTTTTCCCAAATCATTTTTTAATTTTTATTAACTCAAGGTGGTTGGGGGAAAATAAAAACCTTTTTCTTTTAGTGCTTGCTATCACCCCTGTATTTGCTCATGCATTATGCATTTTAGAAGCCATCTGGAAAAAGCTGGAATTTTTATTATTTGCTAAAGATCACTAATGACCCCTTATTTCATATATCTATATATTCCATATACCTATACAATTTTAATTTGTTTATAATGTTCTGTATCTACATATACCTCTCTCGCCCTAGGCCCCTTCCTGAGAAAATCAGAATAAAAAAAACTCAAACTATTGACCTATTAGCTGTGGCTTACCTTTTGAGTCTGTGGTGTGTTGTCTTTCAGTCCAATTGATATTTCTTGTGTTTGACATAGAAAGCATTATTAACCGTATCAGACATCTGAGCAGGGCAATTTTTAAATGTTATTGCCCTCAAGGTTTGATGGATAAGCCAACAAAACTACAGGCGAAAAAAAATATTATTGACCGCTCAGAAAAGTCAATGGAATTTTGTGTGTAATTTGCCGGTCAATACAGTTATACAGTAAACCAATGAACAAATATTATTGCCCGATCTGAAAAGTCAATGACAAAATGCGTGTTAAACTAGTGAGCAATAATATAGAGCCAGTTGTAAATTTCATCGCGCATCAGCTACTGGTATTACGCGTATAAGAAAATCACACCCTAGGCACACTGTTTGCAGTGTATTCAAAATTCGTCAAGCACTGGATGCACAGTGCTGATTTGACGATGTTTTTGCAACTTTTAATGCTAGGAAACCCTGTGCAGTGTAGGCTACATAATTTACCGGTAAGAGTATATAGTTAGAGTTTCTTGTTTGCTATAGATGTCTGATGTGGTTAATAATAGTAATATTGACTGCTTAATTCAGGGCAATACGACTTGTCATATATCACCCTCACCTTCAGTTCGGGGGATTTATGTCGTATTGCCCAGAAGGCAGTCAATATTACTTAAATATTGCAGTTACCTTGTAAATTACAAAGTGTGCATTCTTGTGAATAATGGGCGATGGCATAGAAAGCAGGCCTGATAATTACCCGATTTAACCCTATTTAGCCCCAATTTTCTTACTCAAAAGGGGGGAATGTTCTTAGATGCCGTTTTTTTTCTCCTGGATCCTTTTTTAAATTTTATTACACAAGGGGACAGTGATCAGGAGAAAAAAAATCCCTTAGTGCTCACTATCACCTGTGAGAAAGTGACCTTGATATGGTGTAATAATGTTCAGATCCATTGATTTGATTTCACCAGAAAATTGTTTCAAGAACGGAAGGTGTCTTCCAGCTTGCGTTAATGAGCACCAATATAAAATCGCTTCTTGCAAGTGATGCGGGGAAGATTATCTTCTTGAGCAATGAAATAGTAGGTATTTCACCTAATACATGTTCTTGTAGTCCACTGGAAATGGCAATGGTTGCTGGAAGAACAAAAATTGGGGGTATGTCATGCTATGAATGGACATCTTTCATTGGGCCCAAGTTACTAGCAGTACATGTTTATTTCCGAGCATTTAACTTTCAGCATTTGGAAATATGGTAAACTTAAATTTCGCTGAAAATTTAAGAACTCTGCATTTTAATAAGAGTTGTTTGGGGATTTACTTTTACATATTTAGCCCTGGTTGCAAAATATCCATTTGCATTATGTGTACAGGTGTCTTTACTTTCTGATGCAATAGTCATCCTTTACCTTGGTTACCTATTAATTATTTAAACAATTCTGACCATATTTGGTTCAACTATGGATTGGCAAGGAAGGATGAAATGAATACGATGGATTTGAGGTTCCTACAGTCAAAGTTAAGATTCTCTAAAGTTTTTACGTTAAGCCTAGTCTCTTAGATGAGACTTAAAACATTAAGGTTCTTGGTCTGCTCACTTACCACAGTGCCAATATAATTATTTACCCAAGTCTTTGACATCCAAGATAGATTAAGAATCCACTTTTTAAGGAAATGAGGATGTCAATTTCTCTACCCCATGGTCTGTTAGAAACTAATTATGTAGGTATTAAATCTCCCCCTTCTACTTTCTCATCCATCTTTAGATTCTTCTTGTCATATACATACATATTAATATTCATAAAGCACCTTTACATGAACATGTTCAAAGCGCTTTACATTAGTAAATCAAACAGAATAATTATTTTGCTCTCCTAGGGCACACATAAATTCTACTTTTTGAATTCTTCCATTTTCCTTTAATTTTCTCTTTTGGGTGTTTAAATAACAGCATGAAGCTAACATATCATTGCAACTTGACTTAGAAACAGCTTATTAATATTAATATCTATTGTTGAATAAACTTTTAAGATGTTAGCACTCACCAGTTATGGTTGATGTGTTCCTATATATGCAGACATTTATTTATTGGTTTCACAATGTTCAATAATTTCAAATGCATGACATCATAGTCTTTTTAAAACCGAGTAGCTTTAAAAAAAAAATCAGCATTCAGGACAAATGAGATTTTATGTAATACATAATTTCATATGAATTTCTTTCAAATATTAATCATTTCTATAGAACCCCTATTTGAAAAATGAGGCTTAGAATTTTCTAAACAGAGTGTACATTAGATCACCAAGCATCAGCCCAGATTTGTCCCAGACAGGTTTTTCCTGTCAATAAGTTTTGCGAAGCCAATGAACAAAAGCTCATTTTCGATTTTAAAAAAAAACATCATGAATTATAGGTAACAAATAGTTATAACTTGAAACATCCATGACATTATTTCTTCGTATTGATAATGGGTAAAATATTCGAGCAGAACCCATAATAAAAGTGTTGCATGACATAAAAGTTGAGCTTTATTGTGCAATTAGCATGGACATTATCTTGGATAGCCCTTGGTATTGCTCAAAAAGTGAACAACTTCAAAGAAAGACAGAGATAGTGAAGGTCATTTTCCAGTGGACCAAACCTGTATTACTAACATCAACATTTTCCAAATCAGTTTTTCAGCCACAATGTTCTTAACATTTGTTCTCGCATGCTTAAATGTGTTCCTGTATTACTACTAACTACCTCGAAATGTTGCTGCATGTTTGAAGGTTTTATGATCCGATTTATTGTGTTCTTTGTTGTGTTCCTTCAATTTGCATTGTCTCAAAGCTCAAACTTTTGTTATCCTTTTTTTTTATTGAGAGGGAAAACAGGAACAGTTTTGCCAATATTCTAATACTTTCAATATTCCACAAGTAAAGCAACATTCCTTATTAAGATGTGATTGGTAGTCAGAAATATGTTTTCCCCTTCATATTCTGACTTTGATTCATGGGTTACATATTCATGTCCCCTTTCCCATTTCTTCTTTTTTCTTTCCCCATTTATTAGAAATGTTAAGGCCTACTCAGGTCTTCCTCATATTTGTATTCCATTTTGTGCATGTTTTCTTGTGCCTTGTGCCTTGTAGCTAGATGTTGTTAAATCATATCAGCAAATATATCTTATAACTTACATGCTATATTCATATTCAGATTATGGGAAAGCTTAGATTGCATTATAATTTACCTAAAAGAATAATCAGGTCATCTCCCTAATATTCAGAATACGTACATAATTCTAAATACAAAGTCATTGAATGTGTGCATCATTTGTTTAAAGAGAAGGTTGAGTTCTGGAGAGAGGTGAAAAATAATTTGTAAGCATTATCATTGTTATTATGCAAGGGTGGAAGAACATTAGAGAAAAAAATGTTCCCTGAAAAGCATGGCTCTTCATATGCCTTCATATTCTAAATAAGTAACAGCCTAAAAAAAGGAGGCCCAACTTTTATGCCACATGTTTATGTAGTCCCATTTACATCTTTCTGTGTTCAGTGCTTATTTTTACCAAGTCTAGGCCAAATCTCTACTCAAAACCAATCTTTTCAAATTGTAAATTGCAGTTGTGCGTCGGTCAATGGAGGTGCGCACCATATTTGTCTTTATTTAGTTGATTGCCACTGTTTTTCTTACCTTATCTATGTTACTTTTGTATTTTTGCTTTTTCTTCTAATTTAATTCTACGGGTTATAGTCTTCTCTTAATCAGAACACTGTGCGCTTAGAAACATCAGTATTAAGCGCCTAATAAATGTTATGTATTATTATTATTTCTTATCATTTTGATGATTCCAGAACCTTGCGGTACACACCAATACTTATATGCTACATGATCATTTTTTTCTGATCGATTCCACACCGTTTCTTTCACAATGCAATCGCATGACCAGAACTCAACTTTATCTTTAAGTACAGGTGTCATTGGTTCAATTTCTTAGCTATTTAATAATTAATATATTTTCAAAAAGGTATGTATTTCAATCTCACTAAAAGCAAAACTGTGTTTGCTGGAAGAGTCATCATTTGTTTAAATTTTGATTCTATTTTCTCATTCAGGTCAAGCCAACAGGGAAAGGGGTCAGCCACTGGACTACCGATGAAACAGAATTCTTCACCCAAATGACATTTGGACGTAAACTGACTGCCATAGTAGTTCGCCAGCCAGGCAGTAGTACCAGCAGCTTTGATCTACCAGCAGTGGACTTACTGTTTGATCACTACATCAACGAGAAGGAAACTGGACTAGTAAGGAATCGCTTTGTCACAATGTTTTATCTTTTGTTAGCTGCTCTTGTTTGTTTCCAAACTTTGTTTAGGGTTGTCTGGTCTTTCTCAATCTTTTTTACTCTAAAGAATTTTTGTAACGTTTTTTTTTTTTTGTGTGTGTATTATTGTTTGGTTTTACATAATTTATGTAACTAAATGTTTGAATATATTGTACACTCCTCTTTTTCGTTAGCACTCTTTTCATAAGGGGACTATCTTGACAAGAGACCACCTTGGTCTTTTATGGTACCCTTGATTCCATGAATGATAAGTTGCATCTGTGATGTATATCTGATTTATATGTGTATATGCTTTTATCTGAATTAAAGGGAGTGTTGCTTGACAAATACTTCTTTTGGACAATTGCACGTTAACGAGTGGACTTGATTAACTGTAGTCATGTTCAGAGTTTGCGAAACAGACCAAAGTTCTCCTCATGCATCGGTTTCGCGTATGTTGCAATCACATGATTGTTGTGGTCAGGTCACGGGGAAAGACACGTAGTCTCGTCAGGCTACACTCCCTTTAAATAAAATTGTACTTGAACTTGGAAAAAAACTGACCTTTCTTGTTTTCTTACCAGGTGGATGTTAGCAAGTTGATGGTGAGTAAGAAGCGTGCATTACCAGACGATCAATGCTCTACCACGGATTCTTACTACTCCCAGACAACACACACCACAGACAGTGATGTCTGCCAATCACCAAACGTTGCTGCCGCCACAGGTAAGATGAAGAAAGAGTTTGTACAAACTACTCAGATGCAAATTAGAAAATATGATAATTGGTACAATAAGATGTTTGCAAATAATAATAAGCCATTGTAGAATGATGACTTGGTAATAAACGTCATCTTTCTTTACTACATACATGTGTATATCATAAATGGAAAACATGGGGGTTCCAGTAAAGGTACTATGTCCCATTTGCAACCAACACCAAATTCTGTAGAACTATGCTGGAATTAGGTATCACAGAAGAGCTGCGTTGAGTGGGGACACACAGAGCTCCACCACGCAAATTCTCTTTTTGTGAAGGAAGATTTTCATATCATGGAAAAAATAAATATTATAAAATTATATGTCTCTCGAAAGCTTTGGGGGGTAAGAGGACATTTTTTATTTTTTTTTGGTCTAAAAAAAAATCGTAACGACTCAGCCAACCGCTGAATAAGCGGGGGGGGGGGGGGGGGGGGGATAAGAGGGCACTTTTTTGGGGGGGGGGTCAAGAAATTTTTTAATTTTCTCCGTTGGGGGGGGGGGGGGGCACGTACCTGTTTTTCAGTACATTTTGGGGGAATTTAGGGCTGATTTTAACATATTTTTTGGCCGGTGGGGGGGGGGGGTATGTGCCCCCTGTGCCCCCCCCCCTGGATCCGCCACTGCCATACTTTCTATTGATGTGCCAAAATTCATTCCCCTACCATTAATGGTTTTTAATTGAGGCAGACTTGAAAACACACAAAAAAGCTTAAGGGTGCTTTAAAATATGAAGTTTTAAGAGTTAAGAGCCTTTTTCAAATGCCATTAAAAATTAATTTAAATGGATTTGATGGTCCAAACTTACAGAAATGATTAAGCTATATACATACCCCAGATATGCCGAAATTCAGCCCCACTTCATAGACACTCTTAAATCAAGCCATGTTTCAAAACCCATGAAAACTTGTTCCGGCGACGCAAAAATAGCCATTCGTCACACGCATCAAAATGGGCTTCATTTAATTATTTGAAAAATTCCACAAAAAAAAATATTTGTCTAAAGAACCTAGAAAAAAATAGGCATGTAGAAATCCATACAGAGAACAGATTTCTTGAAAAGAAAGGTGATTCATCAATTTATTACAAAATTATGTCACCTTGAAAATGGCTAATTGTCAGTTACAGCCTAATTACGCAAAATTTGACCATTTCGTCTCTTATGTAAGTGGCCGTATTTTCAAAAGTACTTATTCAAATTTGACAAATGAGGTATCAAAACTCCTCTTTCCATGTGCTCTAAAATGAAATTGGCAGGGGAAATGAAATGTAGATACTTTCAAACTTTAGCTGTGATACCTACTGGAATTAGTAATATGTCACGTATGTCCTATATGTGAAATTTAAATATTAGCAGCGTCCTAATATTCAAATTATGCAAGGAAACCCGTTTACCTTTATGGATTCACTGTCAGACTCTATTGAGTGACTGAATGACTTTTTTTTTCCTTTGGTAATGTTAGATACAGAAAATGAGCTGAAAATGATACATGAGCATTTGTGTACATCAATAACCCACTTCGTGTGATGGCCAAAATTAAACTAATTGAATCTTTGCGCAGCATAAACGTATGACCATTCGGTACAATGGTCTGAAAATCAGACTATTACTAAATGGACTGCAATCACTAAAGTCGATTCAACAACTAATGGACGTTATTTTCCCACTTAAAGATATATTCAAGCCCTTTCGTTTTGATAAATTAGTATTATCTTTCAAATGCTGTTGGAATTTAAGTTTAAGTTTTTTTGGCCCGCAGATGGGAAATAGTACTTTTAATTTGCACGAAATGCAAATCTCTTGATAGCACCTCTGGGGTTAATTTAACTGTAATTTTCATGTGGCTTTGAAATACTGAAAGAAGCCAGTTGGCTTAATAGAAGACAAGTAATTCATGGATGATCTTTATTCCCTGGCTGACAACGTATAGTTAAGGACAACAGTAATATTTGTTTAATGTAAGAATTTTGGACATCTGTAGTGGTGCATGCTTATTGAAATATAACCGTCCTAACATATTGTTAGTTTTGATTGAATATAGGTGTATTGAAGTGGTGATTATGTCATGCAAATGAAAAATAAAAACAGTTTATAATGTTTTTACCATCTTTAATTTTCTATAGATGTCTCTCAGTCTGTAACACTTACTCCATCACAAGAACAAGGCAAGGATCAGGGCCATGAGGCAGGACAGCAAGACAGAAAAGAAAGCGGATCGTCGAGTGGTAAAAAGAAGAAGAAAAAGAAGACCAAGAGATCCAAGAGACACCATGATCCTCAGCTATCGACAGAAGACACTGATGTTCCGTATGAAGAGGGCAGAGATGCTAGACAACTTGCCAAGGAGGAGCTGAGGAAGGAGAGTAGTACCTCTGATACACCTGTCTACGAGAGTGAGTACACCACGGAGAAGAGGGTTCCAGGTCTTTGCAGGACACCCGAGACCAGCTGTACTGATTCACCTGCAGGAAAGGCATCATTGGTTGTCATGACAAAAGGACAGACAACTCCCCTTGGACACCATGATCATGTGATGGATGGAGGGACACAGGGGATTGAGAAGGACAGTCATGATCAGCAGGTTAGCTGTGGGTCAGAGAGTGCAAGGAGCAATAGCCCTAATTCTACCAGCGGTGTGTCTTCGGCTAGGAGTTTAACATTTGTGCCTCAGAAGAGCCTCAGCGACACTCCTAGACCTGGTCTTGACACTCTCAACAAGCTGCAAGGAGAATCCAAAATCCCCAGCTCTCAGCGAATGAACAGTCAAAAAGGAAATGACAAACCCTTAGCAGTTGAAACGGCGAAAGATCACAGCAATAAGACAGCTATGCACATTGCTTCTTCTGCTGAAAATGACCATCTCACAGACTTAACGGATCAGTTCTTTACATGCGCTGAAGATGCAAGTGAGGCAGACAGCACGGATAGAGAAGTCGCCAAACCAAAGACCGACGGTCAACCGCAATCGTCCCCTGCCATCTCCAAGGTGGATGTTATCGGTCAGAAGTATGTACCGCAGAGGACTCTGCGAGATGGAGAGCAGATCCAGTTTGCCATGTCTCACGTTGTTTCTCCACTAGATTTCTACATCCATCTCATCACACCAGAGGCCCAGAAGATGGACTACCTGCTTGATGAACTCAACTCGGTCTACTCGGGCATAGAGAGAGTGGGTGTTTACAGACCGCCCATCTCGTGGCTGTCAATCAGAGCCGTCTGCTGTGGAAAGTTTGGCGAGGATAACAGGTGGTACAGAGGTGTGGTGAAGGACATCAAGGGTGTGAGGGGAGTAGACGATGGAAGACATGTCCTGGTCAAGTATGTAGACTTTGGTAACGAGGAATGGATTCCAGAAAGCATGTTATATCCTCTAGAGAATTACTTCTGTAGCCTTGCTCCACTAGCTTTCAAGTGTGGACTGGCAAGGATTCACCCTCCAATGACAGATGAAACGGAAAAGACCAGCAAAGACTACAAAGGTAATGGTTCATGATTTAATTCAAGATTCTAATTTTATTGTCCATAATAATACAGAAATTTGTTTCCCATTGGTGTTTATACATACAATACAAACATAGGCACAAACACGATTTTGCCTGCTGAGAGCCGAAAGGGTATTAAAGACCCCACTGCCCTACTTATAGCTACTTGTGCCCTCTATATAGCAAACAATGCCTCATCAGTGACCGCTGGTCCCCCATGATCCCCTTTTCCTTATGTTAATTAAGAGCTGATTTGATGAGATAACCACCTGTCAGTGACCACGCTGGGTGGTCTAATCCCTCCTGTCCAAACTAGTGCAGACAGGCTTTAAGTTAAATGTAAAACAAGAATGAGTTAACACCATTCCATTTTTCAGCAGACAGTACATAACAAGAACATTATTCTGAGTCACAACATACATCCATTCGTACATGAATACTAAAATACTGCATTTTCCTCCAAGCAAAAAGAGGAAGAGAAGAGAAGATAACATATCTTCAGTCTATTGTGTCTACATGTAACTGTCTACCATGACTATCATGATGCCAGGTGTATCTGATGATTTGGGGATGATTTGATTGTACAGGTACATCGGCTGAGTGGTCAGAGGAGTGCAAACTCTCCCTGGTTGGAATGAGTGAGTTTGAGAAGCTGCTTACTGGACAGGTGATTCATGTGGGAGGAAAACAGAAGTAAGTTATCAAACTGGCCTGAAGTTCTTTATTGATATTATTTTTTTTTTAATGGAAAGTACTCATATTTGTAAATTTATGATGATGATGATGATGAAAGAGACAGTGACAACAATTGCAACAACAATGATGATAAGATAACAACTAGACTATGTAAATCAGTAGAAGTTATCAAATATTTGGTCCCCTCCCCCCCCCTCCTATTCTTGAATGAAATCCATGGTTGCCTGAAAGTGCAACCAGTGTTGATGTGGGAGAGAGTTTTATTCTGGGGTTTGCATAGTCCTTTCCACAGGTGGTAACTTGAAAACTGTTGAGTACTTTATGTTAAATCAGATTGTCAGTTTTGTTTCAGTGTTTATATTGTTGTATTCGGTGCCATATGAATAAAATGTTTTATTGTTATTTCTTTGTTTTATGATCATGAAAGCAAAGAAACTCTCTGTATGTACTATGTACCCCCTGAATAGCAATTACACAAGCTTCAAATTTCTTTAGAAATTATGAATTTTATTGATGTGATAACCAATGGTTCACTGTTTGATATTCTGTATAGGGAATGTACATGGCTTGAAGTGAGAGACAACACAGAGGGAGAAGGGGTGTGTCTAAACCAAAGACTTGTTGATCAAGGATTGGCTTCTTCATCTTACTACAAGAAGCAACCCCTTCAGGAACAGGGTAAGTTCTTTTGACTGAGGGTGCGTTTATCATCTTTTGCCTTTCAGAAACAGCATTTCTATACATACATATCGAACCCCACTATACGAACGTGATTTGCGGGATGCCACGTTATTTCAAAATAAAGGCCTTGTCTCTGCTCAACTACTTTGCACCCTTGACCTGGGAAGCAGACAGTTGCTTGGAGGTCAACTAGGGCACATGACGTTTGAAAACAGGCTTGCTTTTATCACCATGCAAATTTGCCTAAAACACGTTTGAAAACGCTGATTCTAGGCCAGAAAAGGGATGATACGCACCCTAAACAATGAGCATCATGTGTCTGCTATTGATTTGCCGAGGATGACGGTGCTTCAAGAATGACTGATGCATGCTTTCCAAAATTACTTTTGAATGTAGGAATGGAAGTAAGAAGATCTTGGCCCGTTGCACAAAACTTACCATTGATGGTAACTTTGCCATCAATGGTAAATGGTAACTACCATGGAAACATTGATTTTTATTGGCTGTTGAGCCCTGTTACCATGGTAGTTGCCATTGATGGTAAGTTGTATGCAAAAGGTCCTTGTACCTGTCACAGTTCTTGCCTGCACAGCTAATAAAATATTATTTTGAATTTGTTTGTTATCTGACACCCACACTTATCCTCTGTGGATACAGTACCTTCACAGAATATGAAAAGAGCAAACACATGTAACCCAGCCTCTAGAGGTAATCCAAGTTTGCTTGTGATATTCCATTATCTACCAATATAGCTTGTCGATAAGTAGCTTGAAATACACATGGAGAATGTATGCTTGTATAAAATATAAAAATTAAATTGATGTTAAAGGTACTATGTCCCATTTGCAGGCCAAACAAATGAAAAAGTTAAATTCCAACAGTATTTGAAAGATAATATTAATTTAGAACTTCCCTTTAAAAAAAGGGGGGCTTGAAAATGTCTTTAAGTGGGAAAATTAAGACTATTAGTTGTCAAATCGCCTTAAGTGCTACCCAGTTGGTAAGTAATAGTCTGATTTTCAGACCATTGTACCAAATGGTTCTATGTTTTGTGCTGCACAAAGATTCAATCAGTTTAGTTTTGGCCATTACAAGAAGTGGGATATTGATGTAGAGTTGTAGACAAATGCTCATGTACCCTTTACAGCTCATTTTATGTATGTTATTACCAAAGAAGAAAAAAGCCAGTCAGTCACGCAATAGTGTCTGACAGTGAAGTCTAGCAAGTAAACTGATTTCCTTGCATAATTTGAATATTAGGACACTGCTAACGTTTAAATTTCACAGATGGGACATGCATTACATATTCATAATTACTGTAAAGCTCTACAGAATTTGATGTTGGCTGCAAAAGGGACATAGTATCTTTTTCATTTGACAAATTTAAGCATGTCACTGAAAAAGAAGTGTTGCAAGTTATCACTAACTCTACTTCAAAGACGTGTAATTTGGACCCAATCCCAACTCACCTGCTAAAGAAATGTGTTCATGAACTTACACCTATCATAACTTTTGTTTTTAATGAGTTATTTAATAGTGGTTGTTTTCCTGAAAAATTCAAACTTGCAAATATTGTACCAATTCTCAAAGGCTTGAAATGTGATTCTGATGTACTTAATAATTACCGCCCTATTGCAAACTTGAAGTTCTTTGCTAAGACATTAGAAAGAATGGCAGCTTTACAGCTGCAACGGTACTTAAATGATCATGATAATTTCACTATGGACAATTTTGTTTCACAGAAATGCAGATCAGCATCTTTTGCACTTCACAAAATTGGGAAAATTCGCAATCTGATAGATAAACACACTACTGAACGCTTGATTCATGCTTTTGTGGCATGTCATCTTGATTTTTGTAATAGCCTCCTTTCTTGGATTTCAGCTCGTCAAGTGCAGAAGATGCAGGTTGTGCAGAACTCAGCAGCTCGTCTTATTTATTGTATTAGGAAACATGAATCTGTATCTCTTATTTTAAGAGACTTACACTGGCTACCCATTCACTCTCGCATTTTATTCAAAATATTGTTGTTAGCTTATGAATGTTTTTATGATTTTGCGCCTCCTTATTTGATAGAGCTGTTAACATTGTACACACCTTCTAGAAATCTTCGTTCTAATAAGAAAAAATTGTTTGTTATTCCACCAGTGATGACCAGGTCATATGGTGAATGCAGCTTCGCTCACACTGCCTCAACTTCATGGAACAATCTCCCGGAACATCTAAAAAACATTGACACCATTGTTAAGTTTAAGATTGCTTGAAAGACGCACTTATTTAACATTTAATTCATCCATTTTGTCTGTTACCCAGTACGTCTTGTCTTTGTATTCTGTTGTGTTTTTCTCTAAAGCGCTTAGGGACATGTTTTAATACTATGTGTTATGCGCTATACAAGGACAGTTAATTATTATTTAAAGTCTGATAGATTAAGATGATTCTAATTGTCATGTATGCTAGATGCTATCCAGCATGAAGCATCCCCATCAGACTGCCCTGACCCTAAGGATGAGCCTGAAGGTGGACAAACGCCAGGGACCATGGACACCACCGAGGGTCCATCCAAGGAAGAGGAAGTGATCATCGATCATTGGAATCCCATGGTGCAACACTTCAGCTCGGAGACGAACAGCTATGGAGTAGACATGGATGATCCAGTAGTAGCTACCACTGGAATGAGTAAGGAACCCCTTTCTCCTCTGAGAATATTATCTTGTTTTATGTATTGGTAAACCCAGGCCTGATTATTATTTTTTTTTTCCCAATTTTTTTCTTCCCGATTTCTCCCAATTTTTTTTTCCCAGATTTTTTTTTTTTTTCTTCTTCTCGATTTTATCCTGATATTTCCCAGATTTTCTCTATTTTTCCCTATTTTTCCCTATTTTCTTACTCATAAGGGAGGAAATGTTGTTACGATAGATAAATTATGTTTTCCCCGAATCCTCTTTCTTTCTTTTTTACTCAAGGGGAGTTTGGTTGAGGGGGGGGGGGAAAAATTTTTTTTAGTGCTCATTATCACCCCTGTAAATCCCTCCTGGGCAAAATTCTGTGTTAGTGTTGACAGATTCACAAAACTTACTATTTGGCATACATTTTGCAAGATATGAATTAGTGTTAAATGAGCATGACTTTCATAATTACAAGTGATACCCACTGTATGCAGAAGTTTCAAGATCAGAAAATTGTGGATAAAAAAATTGCATCAGATGATTTTTTTTTTATATACATTTACTTTTTCTTTTCATGAATATAACTACCCAGTAGTTTTTTTAAAACTTTATTGTCTGGTATGTTCTTCGTAGTTGCCCAAAATATGCAATTTGAAAGTGATTCAGTCTGTTTCCATGTCAAATTTGCCCTTAAGCCCAGCAATATCAAAGTCCCTGAACTCCATACTGACTTTGTACAAAGATAACTGATTTCCACATACAAATTAATAGTATGTAAGTCTCTTTGTATATCGGTAGATCTGAAAAATAAATTTCTTGTCTTCATGATATAACTAGCATTATGAGCTCACATGCATAAAGTAAATAACTTTTCAGTCAGCATTTTGAAAACAGAATTGTAATCCGCTATTATTCATTTTGAAGCCACATCAAAACCACAGTGTTTGCCTTGGGAAAACAAGCATGTTAAGACCAGTTGAAAGTGGTACCAGGACCTGTTTCATAAAACTTATATAACTGTTGCAAGCTACTGAAATCATGGCATCTGATTGGCTGAGAGCAGAATTTGTCATAGAAATTTGGCTTTTGTTATTGATAAAAAGTTTCATGTAACAGATCCCAGTACCATCTTTATCTAGCATATTTTGAATACTTTTATTCTCAAATTGTCAATTACAGAATCAACTATTGAAGGGAGAGTGTGCAAATATTATGCAGCGGGTAGACGTTGCTATAAAGGAGTGACCTGTCCCTTTGAGCACCCAAGGCGTGGTAAGACAAGTTTGGAACTCCAGAGATGCATGAGATAACCAATAACATGCTATACACGCTTTGGGTTTTGAAGTTTTTAAAATGCATGCATATATTTCTTATTATTAACCGTGTCAGACATCTAAACAGTGGTTTTACAAAATCATATTACACTTGTTGTAATCCTAAAAGAGCTAATCAGTCAATATAAGACCATGTTACCCTCTCATGAAAAAGCCCATGGACTTTACGTGTTAAAAAAAACAATAAATATAGTCTCTTATTGACCGCACCGATTTTGTAATTTTTATTGTGCATCTATTACGCATTTGAGAACATGCGCACTTTGCGCGCACTCTATTGTGACGTATTAATCACACCAAATTAGGCACACTGTTTGCAGTGTATCAAAAATTTAGTCAAGCACTGGATGCACAGTGCTGGTTTGACAAATATTTTTCAGTTCTTTGGGATTGTCATGGTTGATTTATGTATTTGCTCTAGATGTCTGATTTGGATAACAATAAAAATATTGACTGGCTTAACTTTCGGGAGATATATTGCCTTCACAAGACCCATATTGCCCTTGTCTTTGACTCCGGGCAATATGAGCCTAGTTTGGGCGATATATGTGGTATCTCCCTCAAGGCTAGTCAATATTATATAAATATGCTTTACTTTGGGTTTTGAAGTTTTCAAGTGCATGCCCATGTGTTCTCTGCTCTTTGCCTCCACTTTTGCTTGCACCTATTGACTAACGTTTATCTTTATTTTCAAATGCATGCATATATTTCTTATCATTTCGACTTCCACTATTATATCCCTGAGTAGTTGAAGTTAAATGTGAGATAATTTCACCAAATATTAAAGACCATAAAGCACAAGGCATGTGTCTGTATTAGTGGACTACATGTGTGAAAATTATAATTGAGGAAAAAAAATGTTGAGATTTTTTGCTTTGAGTCTAGGTATGTAATAGAGTGAAGTCAAAGAATTTGACACTCTTTTCAGTCACTTCAAGATATTCCCTAAAGATAAGTTTCTTATCTCCTGCTCAAACAGGTTTCATAATATGTGATATTTGATAAGTGTTTTGTAGATGAATTCCGTTGGCTTAAATCATAATAGCAAGGGTAGTGAAATGGGAAGGTTGTTTAAATGGAATGTTCCTGTGGGGATGCTGAAAATCTAATTTGGTTTTAAAAAAAAAGGGGGGGGGGGGTCTCTGTAATCCTTTTATACTTACTTTGTTCTTTGTAGAATCTTAGACTAACAATTCTGTTTAGTGAGTAACAGTTATTTCATGGAATTACATTCAAAAATCTTTTAATCGAATGCTACATCTAACTTTTCTTTATGCAGCTAGCACATTTGAAGACATTGACCAGCAATCCCCTCCCATCCTGCATGATTGGAATCACTGTACCCAAGACCCTCCCCATGTATTAATGCCCCCTCCTAGGCCCTGGCTACACCATTCTCCACCCTACCAGCACCAATCCCCTCCACCCTTCCCCGGGTCCCCTCCCTCTCACCACTATTCCCCTCCCTCCTATGACCATCCCTCTCCCTATTCTCCTCCCTCCTACCAGCAGTCCCCTCCCTCCCATCATTTCCCCCCTGTCTCCCATTATCTGCCCCCTCTCAGTCATAGGCTTACACGTAGGTCCCTGGACCCCAAACACCTTGATCACGGTGTCCAACCTTTCATGTCTCCCCCTGACACAAGTGCTTACCTTTTACCTTGTCCACCTGTCTTTCCAAGGGCCCCATCACCCCAAGGGTACCATTCCCAGACCACATTATCCTGGCTAAACTCATTAAAAGGTCACCTCCCTTACAAAGATGATCTACCCGTGTTTCAGTTTGCTAGGGAGAAACCTGAACATGTTGGGGGCAAGTGGTTTCTGATGCCTTCCAATAATAATAATAATAACAGTTTCCCACCTATGCTTTTACCTAGAAAGCATGTCTTTCCATCTCATTTACAAGGGGGTCATTTCCGTTCTGGCCCATCATACCATCTTTTCTAGAGAAAGCTAAGATAAGATATTAGAAAAACATTTTTTTCTTTTTCATTTTGTCCTTTAATTTTCAAAAACTGCAACATTATATAAATGGGTGAATTGAAGTTTGGTCTACAACCATTTTGTCTACTACCCAATTAGTCTAGGTATTCCCTTATTGTCTCCACCCAGCCCGTCTACTATCAACATGGTCTAATAATCTTTTGGTCTTCTTACCATTTGGTTTAACAGCCATTTATGGTAATAGTAATTGTAACTGGGTCTAATTTCCATATGGTCTAATCTCTAATTAGTCTACTACCTATTTGGTCTATTGTTCATTAAGTCTAATGACCAGTTAGTCTTATTCCTAGTTTGTCTAATGCCCATTTTGTCTACCATCCATAAGGTCTAACAATCATTTGATGTTATTAATATTTGTGATTAAATGATTATTATACAATATGGATGGTAGACAAAGTGGGCACTAGACCAAATGGGTATTAGACTTATTGGAGATTAGACCAATCTCTATTAGCCTACATGGTCATTAGACCAAATGATAAGTAGACCAGATTATTATGAGACCATGTGGATAGTAGACTGGTTGGGTGTAGACCATATGGGGATAGACATACTGCTTGTAGGCCAAACAGCATTAAACCTATACACATATTATAGGATACCAAGGACATATGGTAAAAAAATTGTTTGCAGGAACATGAATTTTTGTTTTAATGATTCAAATTTAATTGTGGCACAAAGTTTATTTACAAATTTCATAAATATTCTACTTTTAGCCTTGGCAAGACCTGGGGGGGGGGGGGGGGGCTCCTCAAAACTGTCGTAGATGCCAGCAGGGTAGCAAGACTCTCCTGATACTCTAATGGGTTCATTTTAGCTGTTTTGAGTGCCAACAAGGGTAGACCCCCTCCCCCCCCCCCCCCACAACAAAAAACTCCTCTAAAGGGGTCTCTCACAGCCAAATGAGTTTGAACCCCCCCCCCCCCCCCAAACATCTCCTCTTCAAACCTTCTCCCCCTACACTGCCTCTCTCATTGGTGCCAGCAGGATGGCAAGACTCCTCCTACCACAACTCCCCTCCTAGGTTACCCTCTCAGGGTAGAAATACCCCCTCCCCCTACACCTCCCTTGCCTGGGTAGTAAGACTTCCCTAATGCAACTCCTCTCCTATGTTAACTGTCCTGGGTGCCAGCAGGGTAGCAAGACCTCCCCCCTACACCACCCCTCTCCTAGGTGGTAGCAGAGTAGCAAGACCCCCTACATCACCCCCTCTCCTGGGTTCTATCAGGGTAGTAAGACTTCCCTAATACAACTCCTCTCCTATGTTAACTGTCCTGGGTGCCAGCAGGGTAGCAAGACCTCCCCCCCTACACCACCCCTCTCCTAGGTGGTAGCAGGGTAGCAAGATTCCCCCTCTCCACCACCCCTCTTCTGTGTTACTGTCCTGGGTGCCAGCAGGGTAGCAAGTTTGCAGTTTTGCTCCTAGTCTGGTATCCAGGTAATTGTTTTGTGTTGTGATTTGTCATGTTAACATTTCCTGCATGCTTTCTTTGCTTTGCTTTTTCTATTGCTGCATGTTTAGGGAAGGGGGTAAATTGATTTTGCTTACTGGTAGTTTCTTGATATTTTTTTCTTCTTGAATCGACAAAGGTGAATGCACCCATTAGACATATTAGTATTGTCTTGCTTTGGTTGTGTGATTGAATGTGTTGGAAAATTCATAATGGGATGTTCAGAAAACACCATTTGTTTTTACCTTATACATGTAGCTGTGTCTCCTTAAGTTTTATAAGTGGAACCTGGTCAAAAGAGAAGTTTACATTACATTTATTAATATTTCCTTGCATTCTTACAAATATGTTTTGAGCAAAAATTACCAAGAAATTAATTCAAATTGAGTATGGTTTTTGACTATTGTCTTAAAGGCATCGTTTAACAATGTTTCCAGTTTTACAAATCTGAGATGCATGGCCCCTCTAAACAGAATTGCGCTTCAAAGTGCCTCAAAAAAAGTAAAAATCTATGAGTGACCGATTTTTACCATACTCATTTCCCCCAATAGACTGTAGTGTTGTAAAAAACATTGGGAAAACGTTTTTTGAAATTTCAATTTCCAATCATTCCAGTCATGGGATTCCTGACTGACCTAAATGTTTATAATTATGATTGCAGCATGAGCTAAATCCAGGATTTTGTTTAGAATCTGAGGCAAAGATACCCAATCCCTTGACTATGAAATCATAACTATGAAATAAGTGAAATTTGATCTCGTTACAGGTCAAGAGCTTCGAGAGCAGACCGAAGTGTTCTGGTGCAATACATCCGTCAGCTTACCCAAGGCAGGTCACTGGGTAGCCTTAGAGGTCACTGCTGTACATACATCAATCCATTTCTGGGTTCAGCTCCCATTTGGTCCTAAACCTATAGACCAGGCCCAGAGAGAATGGACCGGTTTGAACCAGGTACCTGAAGAGAGGAAGGAAGATGGAGAAACACTTACAGCTCTTCAAGAGTCTATCAAGTATGTCATGAATGTAGTAGGTTGACAGTCAAGAGGGAAAACACACTTGGAAGAAAAGTATACAAATGATGCATGTGCATGAGTTCATTATATGATCTATCCGCACTCGATAGATACACACAGCATCAACAAGGGCGGATAGATCGTATAATGAACGAATGGAAACATGCATCATTTGTTTTAAACGAAACCCCTAGATCCTTGTTATTTGATGTAAAAAGAATTCATTCAAGATTGTTTCGTGACAGTCTATGGCTGACAAATAATAGGCTCATGCTCAGTATTACGCACTCAAACCTCTACACGCAGTTCTGCGCTCTGAAAACGAGTTCAATAGTACTGGAAAATATTGCACTCCTTTTCATGAAAACGAGTGCAATAGGCTCAGTAAATGAATCACACGTGACCGCGCATGACCAATCATTTGATTAGGATCTGGGAGTGAGTTGTATAATAAAAAATGATATTCAAAATGGTTATCTTTAATGAACGTATTGTTGGTGAATTGAAATGTGTGTAGAGGAATTGCCAGTTACTAGTAGTTTCATCATTGGGTATGCGTTGATTTTGGTATAACATGACATTTCCATAAACTCTAGCTCAAGTTTCCTCAGGCTAAGCATGTAACAGGTAAATTTGTTTAGAATTTCTATTTGCCAAGATTGAATCCTATTTTCCAAGTATTTTATAAAGAAACGATGCTTTGTGTCTTAACACATTTAGAAATGTTTTATTCTTTTTAGCTAAGAATATTCTCTGTGGTGACAAAGTCTTTCAAGAGTATTCCCTGTAATGGTTAAATTCATTTGATTTATCCCTGACAGTGCTATCTACCAGAAGTCTTATACACGTCGTGAGGACCTCTCTCTACTGGCGTTAGGAGAGATAGTATGTGCTCAGTTCAGTAAGGATGAGAGCTGGTACAGAGCAAGGGTTGTTGATGTGGATGCAGAAGCCAATACAGTACAGGTAAGAAGAAGATATCGTTTCGGCATAGGTTGACAGTCTGGATGGAGGTTGACTTTGTTATTGTTGCAGCCAATATAATGGAAGTTTCCTTTATTCGATTCATTTCAATTCAAATGAACATTTATTTTCTTCCATTCAATTTGACAACATATTTGACATCTGTTCAAACAATACAATTTATACGTAGGAACATAAATAGAACTTGTATGACAAGGAAGAAGGCGCGAATGCCGATAAGCAAAGCTTGTAATGGGTACGCCCGAATACACTAATACATAATATACTTCTAATAAGAAGAAAGGAAGGAAGGGATTGGCAAGGAGAAGAAGAGGATAGATGAATTGTAAGCCTGAACATACTGATACAGCATTTAAGTAGATGGATTTAAAAGAGGGATAGATGTAGAACAAAATTATGTATTACATTTTTTTAGGCAGAAAGTTGGATTCCACCACCTAATACCTTTTTCTTATGTTATGCCCTTTCCTTTTCCTTCCTCATTGAGTCCTTCATTTCTCATGGTTTCCTCTGTTCCTCGTACAGTTAAACTTGCTTTAGTGGCCACCTGTCTAAGACCACCGTCTAGAAGGACCAAATTTTTGTTTCCCTTGAAAATGGTTTCTCATTGAAACATGTATTTAAGGAACCTGTCTTCAAAGACCACTTTCTGTGTTTCCCTTGGACGATCGCTGTAGACAGGTTTGACTGTACTTGTATTTCATCGGTCTCTCCCCTGCAATCTACATCAACCTCGCCTGCCAATCCCTTTCCATAAAAACGTACGAGAACATCGGTGATAAAATATGTCAGCTTGCAATCCCCACTCATCTCTTTCCAACCTCAGAGGCCCAATGGTCTGAACACACTTTATCCTTTTGATTTGCAGGTATTCTACGTGGACTATGGTAACTGTGAATGGTTGGTCTGAACACACTCTCCTGTTTTGATTTGCAGGTATTCTATGTGGACTATGGTAACTGTGAATGGTTGGTCTGAACACACTCTCCTGTTTTGATTTGCAGGTATTCTATGTGGACTATGGTAACTGTGAATGGTTGGTCTGAACACACTCTCCTGTTTTGATTTGCAGGTATTCTATGTGGACTATGGTAACTGTGAATGGTTGGTCTGAACACACTCTCCTGTTTTGATTTGCAGGTATTCTATGTGGACTATGGTAACTGCGAATGGTTGGTCAGATCTAAAGTACGTCCTGCCATGCCTCAGTTTCTTCACCTCCCGTTCCAAGCTGTAGAATGCTTCTTGGGAGGAATAGAACTCATCAAACCGACTTCACTCAAGAATCAAGATCTTGACAGGTGACTTTCCCGCATTCTCAAAACATACTTTGCAACCAAAATGTGTATCATAATCCTTATTATTACTAGTAAAATAATGAGGAAAATCACAATCAATTAAAGCATTCAGCTCCATGTCATGAAATTCATTCAAATTAAAGCCTTTTTGTCATCCTATTTAAACAAACAAATGAAAATTTCTCTTTACATTCACTTAATGAAGATGTTGCTGCTTGTAAACTTGTTTTCTTATTTTTATGCTAAATACATTAAACAGTACCTTTGGATTTATGAATAGAAGAAGTATCTTGTCATATCAGCTAACTTTGGGAGTAACACCAATATGAATGCACTATAAAATCTCTTTATTTTTCTCTAAGGTTTTTGTAGAATCAATTATGTTGTATTTGTTAAACCATTGAAATAATCATTTATCTTTCCTTTTTTCCTATTTTTGCAGAAAATTATTTGAAGAGTTGACAATGGACAAGATTCTTGTTGGTCATGTGGTTTCAAGGTAAGACTTATTCCTCCTCCCCTTCCCTCCATCTCCATTAAAGGGATCATTTAACAATGTTAAATCTGAGATACACGGTCCTACATGTTACCAATGTCTGTGATATGGTGTAATATTGAAGCCCTAAAAATATCGCGCTTCAAAATGATCAAGAAGTGCCTCAAAAAAGTAAAAATCTTTGAGTGACCAGTTTTACCATACTCGTTTTCCCCAATAGACTGTAGTGTTATGAAAACCGTTCAGCGAACATTTTTCAAAATTTGTAATTCCGATCATTAATATTTTGATAATCAGACAGGCGATCGGCTTGTAAAAGTCATGGAGTTCCTGACTGACCTAAAGGTTTATAATTATCATTGCAGCATGAGCTAAATCAAGAATTATTTCTAAAGGATCTAAGACAAAGTTACCGGATCCCTTTAATCAATCAATATATAATGTGGATATGTAAATATTTTGCCCAAAATATATTCTCCCAAAGAGTATTTTCTTTTAAAACATTTTCAGTTCATTTATATCATTTTTCTTAGTTTGTTTTGAAAGAAACATACTGTCTGCCTCCTACCACGATACATTTTGAACAAGTCATTACATTACTTTGTAGGCTATTTGCTGTTGAGTTCAAAAGAAAAAAAATAATGAGTCTTTTGAAGATGTAGATTATAGTCCTTGAGTTCCTTTCACAGTATAAAGGCATTGTTTGCATAAACTATAACATTATTGTATTTTTTCCCCCCTAGTGATGGAGATATCCTCCATGTGGAACTCTACGACACGATCAGCGCCAAACACGTCAACATCGGAGATGCTCTTGTGAATGCTGGCTTTGCAAGGCACACCAAGACTCCCCAGACAGCAGAGAGACGCACTCCTAGGCAAGACACGACGGGATAGTAAACCAATGCCCTGCTGTTTTACTTCTAACATTCATCCATTTGGCTATCAACTTGGTCTTTCTGTGTTGAGGAATGGAGTTGGGTTTTATTCCTTGAACAATAAGTCATCTTTACTCCTTTTTATGTTCCCCAAATCAGTGTGGAATCAACTCTGTGTTCACATTACATGGTCCATACCCTGTGTCCGGATTTACAGGTTTGCAGGGTAGGCCAGTGCAATTTCTTATTATTTTTTATATTTTTTTTTATTTAAACAAAAACTAATGCATTCTTCAAATTTGTCTGTAAGTTAACCTCATGTCCATGCTGGTTGGACAATAATTGAACATATTTGCCAATAGAAAAAATTACATCACACAAATGACATCTAGTTTTTAACATATCCGTCTGTTTTGAGGCAGGGCTTTAACTCATATCATTTCACACAGAGGTGGTGCCCCTTTGAATCCAGACAGACTATAGGTTAAAAAAAAAAAAAAAATTATTAGAAATAATCTGCGAGAGAGATCGTGAAAAGGCTGAATTGACCATAGCTTCCTGTAAGTCAACTGAAGATTACTGGGGTTAAGTATCATATTACCGATGATAGAATAGTTCTGTACGTAGACAAGATTTCATTCTCGGTCTTGATGATAAATATATGCTGTACATGTATATCAGTGAGGTAAACTTTAGATTTATGTTTTACATTACACTTTCATTCCCTGTAAGTGAGCTTCAAAGCCAAATGCTGTTATTTCCCATTCTCTTGCCCAAGCCTTGTGTACACAACAAATATAAATAACACTAGTGTAGCATATGTACTCTGCAACCAGCTATATAAGTATTTTTTGTTTAGGATCGGTAGAACCTGTCCAAAATCATAGCAGAGATTTTATACCTATGGAAAATGCTAACACCCTGAGGTACTAAAGTTGTAAATGTAGCCTTTTATAATATTCTTTTGTAGCTTGGATAACTCCTGGAAACGGATTGGATACCTGAGCTTTTAGAAACCCTGTAAAGATAGTTAGTTCAGAGATCTATTTTGTTTTATTAATATGTTTGAAATTTGCAAAAGTAAACTCGTCGCAGCTGAATTTTATTTGCCAAATGTAATGCATAATGTTTTCTTCAGTATTATAATTTTGTTATTGTTCTTTTGTTCAGTGAGCCATGCTGGTAGAAAGCATTTGTCAGTTGCTTTCAGAGATTTGTGTTCTTGTAAATAAATAGTTTTGATGTTTGTTATTAGACATGAATCTTCTCATGCCACTAGAGTACTTGCCTATAACTAAGAATATGAGGCTGAAAGAAACGAGTTGACAATCACTGCCGAAAAGTTGTCGTCCATGTTGTATCTTAAGAAGCAAAAGGTACTGGTAATCAAATGTTGGTTTTATCATCACAAGAATTTGTTTAGTGTAAATAGCTGATAATTAGTTGGATATTTTGTTTTGTCTGTTTGTTTTTGTTACGTTGGATTATTCCACTATTCCTCTTGAATTGTCAGGTGCTTATTTAATACACCTGGATCAAGAGGTAAATAAGCTTGATTATGCAATAAGTACTCACCAAGATTAGGTCTTCTGAACTCAACCAATCACAATGAACCGCTTTAAAGATCGGATTGTTCAAAGTACAGAGCAAATCAACTTCAGAAAAAACAGGTGTGGGACATTCAGAAATTAAATATTTTTGAAGATAATTATGAGCAAGGGCATGTAAGGAATCACCATTACAGTGTACTGTGATTCTCTAATTATATCATTCAAATGATATAACATTTTGTGTACGGTACATGAATATTTTTTTAACGTAATGCTATGTATTGGGATACATATTTGTTTCTTTTAATTTGAATTCATGTAAAATTTGACATGATGCACTGCCTTCCTGAAGTACAATAAGTTTACTGTTTGGAAGTACACCTTCAGTATATTGTAGAAATGTGATTGGTATTGAGAGCTTTCAATATCACTATGTCTATGAAATGGACATATTGGTCTGTATGATACAATTTTCTTTTTTTCCTTATTACAGTTCAAACAGTTATGCTGTCCATGCTCAGTATGATTTTGTTAGCATCATGCACATAAAATCACCGTATGAAATATCAGTGTTTGGAAAAAATGATTGGCATGATGTTGTCCAGGGCCCCCGTCTATAAAGAGTTGATATCAATCGCAAATCAATCGCAACTATGTACATTATGCTATAGTCACATTACCCAAAAGTAGCCTGCTCGGCGGCCGAGCGGCGAGTTTTTAACCAATTCTGCCCGGCGGCGGCCGCCCAGGCACCGCTCGTTTTAGGGCATCGCTCGGTCGCCGCTGAAGTTTTAGCGCGGAGTTAAAATTTGGGCGGCGCCTGCTCACTTAGCCTCGCCGCCCAAAATACGCTCGGTGCCTGGGCGGTCGCCGCCCGGCACCGACCTAATTGCTGGGCGATGCCTAAATTCCAGCAGCGACCGAGCAGGCTACTGATCGGTCGGTCGCCGCTCAGATTTGTGACCATAGCTTAAGAGATAGGGGACTGCATGCCTGCGATTGATTGGAGGACTCACAATTGATTTGTATCAATCCTAACCCTTTATAAGACAGGGCCCAGTAGTGGCTAATGATTGTGATTTTTTGTTCCTCAAATAGGTATTGAAAGTCTATGGTCTCAACTCAAAACAGTTTATTATTGTTTCAATTGTCTTTGGAAGTTTAGGTGTATCAAGAAATACTCATTTTAACCAACAACTTTGACCAATACTTTGTATTACCTATAAAGTAGCATATTGCTTTTCATTTACATGTTGTATGTGAAATATGCCTTGGATATGCATTAGGTATGGTATGCCAGCTGTCTTCCTGAAGTTTTAAGACCTTATATAAATGTGTAAGTAAACATTAAGAAATGTTAATTTGTTTAAAATGTCAAATGAAAAGTTGATCTTATTCATTGTTGTTGTTGTTTTTCTAGTAATTGTTCATCATGAAAACAATGATCTTTCACATGTACTCCATTTTTTTTTATATCTTTGTTCAAAAGAAGAAAACAAGCCAAAGTGGTGCTCTTTATTAAATAAATATTTTGTTTAGTTTCTAATGAAGTGTCATAAATGTTGTACTTTCGTTGTTCACAACAGTAGGCATTACATTGATTTAGATGTGAGAAAGTAAAGTGAGATAGGAAACAGTTGGCCTACAGCTTGTCGTGTGTGTTAGTGGATGAGTACACAAGATACTTGTGCAATCATAATAACCAAGCAATGTAGATGATTGTTAGGAATGGGAGAAGGTGTGGCGGACGGGACATACCGGATAGTCTCGACATGTGGGAAAGGATGAGGTGTATTGATGGGTACTGGGGACTGTGAGGGAGGAGAGGAGAGATGGTAGGGAGAGAAAGAGAGAGCGAAAGAGGAGAGATGTTGGGTAGAGGGGAATGATGAGGGGTTTTGATTGGTGGATGGGAAAGAAGGGTAAGGAGGGAGATAGGGGTAGGGAGGAGGAGAGAGAGAGATGATGTCTAATACCGGAGCTAGAGGGGAAAGGATAATGGGTATTGATTGGTGGATGGGGGAATAGGGAGGGGGAGAGGAGAGGTAAACAGAGAGTGAGAGAGAGAGTGTGTGGTGGGGGTGTGTGTGTGTGTGTGTGTGTGTGTGTGTGTGTGTGTGAGGGAGGAGAAGGGAGAGAGAGACAGAGAGGTGAATCTCTACACTGTAAAAAAGAATTTGTTCATTGGTAATTTTTACGTATTTTTTCCATGTAGAATTTACTTGAAAACATTAGTTTTGCCACTTACGCACTAAATTTAAGTCTTGCTAACTCAAACTTTCAATTTAGTAGAACATACGGGGAATATTTAAATAAAATCAAATACATAAGAACTTTAAGTAATTTCAGCTTGTATTAATTTAGTAATTTTAACTCAAAATCAGAAATTATACGTATTACTCAAACAATTTATGTTGATTATTCTTATCTTTTTAAAGTAAGGACCGATGCAGTGCGTAATAGAAATATTTACATAATTTATGAATATTCATTAAGACCAAATTAAACTCTTTTTTAAATAAAACAATTCTTTTTTGTGGTTGAATGAAAATTTAAGGACTTTAAAACATTTACTAATTCATTTAACATGGCTAAGCAAAGACAAGACAATTTTTAATTGTTACCCAGTTCAAAACAAATCAAAACTTGATATTTCAGGAAATTGTCAACCAATTTTCCTTTTAATGCTACGATCAAGTATATATAAAATTTGGAGCCTTTCAATATGTGTCGAATTGAAGCGTATGTAATAGTTTGTGATGGTGGTAGATATATATATACGGTTAAATCTTAAATAGAAGTAGTGTTAGTGATTAATCTTAAATAGAAGTGGTGAATGATTAGTGGATGTTACTTCTTAGATTAGATGGGTACCAAATCGTGCAATATGTAAACCTATCATAGCTTTTTTTTAATTATCTAAAATGATTACAATACTTAAATTATTTACGTTAATGTAACTCGATTTAACTGAGTAAAACTTTATTCAGCAAAATAAGTAAATTCTACTTAAGATGCCGTAGGTAATATTTACTTAATAAAAATAAGGCAATTCTTTTCCTCAATTTTATTGAGTTATTTCGACTATTATTTTTTTACAGTGTGAAATGTTCCTATCGATAGAAACTGCTATATAAGATGAGGACTAGAGGCAAAAACATTTTTTGGAATGCACACACAGGCATAGAAAATGTTTTGGGCCTTAAGAATCACCTCTGACTGGATGATTTCTAGGTAAATGGGGGGGGGGGGGGATATACTACAAAATATGTAAGACTAAGACCCCATTCTCACTCACTTTGCTGGACCGATATACACTAGACCTATCCACTGGACCGCTCCAGAGGTACGGTTTGTTTATGTTCACACTCGTTGAAATTTTTGCCCTGATGAAACAAGTTATTCCATGATAGCACGGGTCACTTTCGCGCGCAATCAAGATGAGTCTTGTTTTGTTTTGTTTCCATCACCAAATTAGTATTCATTTCCCCTTCTCATTTTTTATTTTTACTATTTTATCGTGACCCTCTCTTTTTATCTTTTCTTATGTTATTCTTTTATTTCCCTTCTTTCATCTCTTATTGTATTTTTTATTTTTGTATCATTCTATCATTTTCTTTTTCTGTCTTTCCTTATGTTAGTCTTTGTTTTTCCTCTTTTACTTTTTATGTTATTCTTTGTTTTATTATTCTATCTTTTTTTTTTTTTAAATCCTCATGTTATTTTTTGTTTTCCTTCTATCATTTTCTCTATCTGTTTTTCTTATGTTATTCTTTGTTTTTTCCATCCGGATCATCTTCTCTGCTATCTTTCCATTATCTATTCCTTACCATTTTCTTTTTCTTTCTTTCCTTATGTAATTCTTCTTTTTTTCCTTCTATCATCTCTTATGTTATTGTTTGTTGTAACCATTTTATCATTTTTTTCTTCTTTTTATCTCCTTTCTACAACCTTTACTTATGTTATTCTTTGTTTCTTCCTTCTATAAACCTATCCTTATGTTATCACTTGTTTCTTTCTTCTATATCCTTCTTTTACGTTATTCTTTGTTTCTTCCTTCTATCACCTTTTCTTGTGTTCTATGTTTCCTCCTTCTATAACCTTCTTTTATGTTATCTTTTGTTTCCTTTTTTTATTACCTCTCCTTATGTTATCACCTGTTTCTTCCTTATAGCACCTTTTCCTATGTTATTTTCGTTTCTTCCTTCTATGACCTTTTCTTATGTAATTCTTTGTTTTTATCCCAAAAAATTATCTTCCTATCTTTCATTATGCTATCTTTTGTTTATTCCTTTCATCACCTTCTCTTATGTTAATTTTTTTTTAATCATTCCATCATTTTCTCATTCTGTCTTTCCTTTTATTATTCTCTGTTTCTATTCTTGCTCTCTTTCATTACTTTACCTCCAAAAAACACTCACATCCGGTTGTGGATCGGTCTAGGGCCCAAGCAATTTTGCTCCCGTCATAAAAATGTCTTGCTTTTCAGCAATGGACTCCTTCTTGTATTTGTATGACAAAGGTCTGCAGTTTTCTTACTTAAAGTAATAATGGACCTATCCATAACTTCAGTTGCAAAACTTCGTTCAAACAAGCACTGGCGTACTGATGGGGGACGGATTGGGGCAGTTGACCCCCAAATAAAACAAAAACTTGGATTATTTCGAATTCGATACCAGGGATTTACAAATATTGCTGTAATTATATGATTTTCCGTGTTTTTTTTCTTATGGCGGCACTCCCAGTGGGGGGGGGGGGGGGGGGCACTATGCCATTTAGATTGAACAAGTGCCCCTTTTCTTTTAAAATAACTGTCTTTTCCCCTTATGATAAGTGCCTACGTTTCCTTCCTCCATAACATGCATTTCTTTAATATTTCCCAGAGCTCGCTTACTACGCTCGCTTGCATAATTATGTTACTTAGAACTTTTCATTCTTTCTTCATTAGATTGTGCTGAATACTCATCAGGGTTTGTTTTTCTCTTCTTTATAGTATGTAATTTTTCTCACTGAGACCTCACAAATCTTTAAATTTTTGCTCACTCGCTTCGCTCGCTAGAAAATTAATATTCAGACCATCACACCCAACTGCAAAGTATGTTGCTTAAATAAGCAGTATCTTGTACCACATAAAGAAAGAAACAAATAGTTATATCAATCCCTGGTAGTGTAATCACAATCATGACGATGTAGGGGTATATACAGATGTCTAAAAATGGTGTATGTTTTTGTAATGTTTCCCTTTGTAGGTACCTCCCCCCCCCCCTTTTTTTTGCCCCCGCCCCTATTATGAAAGACGCTGCGCCGCCACTGCATTATTTGGTGGTGATGCGGATTTTGTTCTGACCCCAAAAAAGTTTTTGCTCATTACGCCACTGCAAACAAGGCCATACTCGAACATGTACACGTATTTTTAAATTAGTGAGGAATAAACTGCATTAGGCCTATACTACTATCAGTTTCAATCGATGAAAACATAACAATATTATCCACCAGTATTTTGGAAGGAGCTGAAATGATTTCCACACTGGGGATGTCTGCCTCCCCCTGGTTACCAATTACATGTCGTCATACCTGGCGAGAAACATACATGATGTGCCAATTATCAAGCAGACTCGCTTGCGATGTAGGAATTCAAAACCACTCGTAGTGATA